GGGGATCCTTGACGGAGGAGTCGGGGGGACAGGTCGGCGACAAGGGTAGCCGGCGGCAGAGGGACGGATTTGGGTAGGAGATGGGGCACAGGTCGGCGGAGAAGGGCTAGCGACTATGGGTCGGATCTGGGTCGGATCTGCGGGTACTAGGTCAGGGTAAGGGGTGGGGGTATGGGTGAGAGTGAACTTACCTGTGTTCCTAGCCGTCGTCCGCCGTCGCCCGCCGCCGTCCTACGACCTTCTAAACCACCGGTAGGGAGGACGGACGGTGAGAGTCGAAGTGCCGGCGACTACTCCGAGGAAGAGCCGTTACTCACGAGAGAAGATCAGAGCAGAGGACAGAGGAGGTCAAAATTAATGCCCAAAATTCCGGAACTAAGAACACAAAAAGGCAAATGAAAATCTGACCAAACATGCATACCCATTAAAAATTTGGGTGGCTCAGGTTTGAACATAGGGTTTTTGGCACCACTTTAAATGATTAAAATTTAATTTAATACATATGCTCAAAGCTGAAAACCTAGTCAAATAAAGAAATATAAATTTAACCTAGAAGTATATTACTCTTTTCCTCTCTTATTGTGACTATAGATCTTCGATCCTCCATCCACTATTGTCCATATTCCTTAAACTCTTCAAGGCTTCACCTTTGATCTTCAATGGTTAGAATATGCAAGAACTCTAGTAGAATTCTGATCTGTAATTTTACAGAATGCCCCGATTCAAAGATCCAAAATTTATATCTACGAATTGCAAGGGCCAAATTGTAGTTCAACTTCTTACCGTGGATATGACCTTAGATTGGCTGGAGGTCTAGGATTTGGGTGGTAAAGAAGACCTTTGGATCCTAATTTGTACTTTTTGTGTATCTGCTTGTGCGCCTAAGTTTGTAGTTTTTGCATGTGTTCTTACTTTGTTCATGCAGTTATCCTTTTTTGTAGTGTTCTTGTATCTTGAGCTGGGGTCTCTTGGACATTGTGGTTGATTGTGCTGGTTGTTCATGTATATGTTGGAATTAATGCATACTTCTAGGGTGGGTGGGTTGGGGTGGGGGGTTAAAGAGGTGTCAACAAAAACGAAAGCTTTTTGCAGGATTTTCCTCATAAAATATTGCCCATGTATAAGGAACTCAAATCAAACACTCACCAAACAAATTAGTGGAAAGCAATAAGAACACTGGATATATATTGGTTCGGTCTAATGCCTACATCCAATCCTCGGACAACTGTGCCCGCGCCTTCACTGTCTTACCACCAAACTTACGGGCGTTTGGCAAACCGGTAAAACTTGAGAAATTGGATTCACTAGCCTCTTAATAATCCACCTACATTTGATTTGAAAATTTCTAGGACTTTTTCCAACTTGAAGTAGTCTCAACTTCAGATCCAATTAACAAGAGAAAACGATCTCACCTTCTCTTTTACAACAAAAACAAAAGCCACAGCGGAATAGCTCTTCAAAATAATGGGTTGCTGTAATACAAACAAGATTCTATGGAATATGGTTGTAGCAACTCTCAAAGACTCAAACAATGCAGGAATATTGTTAGGGGTGAACCGGGGGTCTTATCAAGTTGTTATTTTTGGACATGTATTGGACGGAGTGGGGGTTGGCTAGCGGAACCCTTAGGTCAAAACGAAAGTTATTTTGGCCTTTCGGGCTAAAGGACTTTGAATTCTCACTAAAATGGATCATAATGTTTGAACCTAAGTCCTTTGGTTTCCATGAGGGTGTGGGATATGGGGGAGGGTATGATAGGGTCGGGCCTAGATATATCAAATATGATCTTGTAGGATCGATTGTTTGGATAGAAAAAGTGTGTTGGGGGTCAAAGGAGTAAGATATAGGCAACAAACATTTGAAAAAATTAGTTCTTACAACAGTTGAAACTGCTTAGTATTTGAATCCTAGGACCCTAGTCTTTGAATACTAAGCGGTTTCCTACCATTGTGAGGACCAACGATCACTACCACATTCGAATGCAACACAAGGCACATCTGAATGTGTCAAGGCTTTAAAAGGAAGTGCTATTCAATTCAAACATTAGACATTCAAATACTAAGGTGCTACATTGGAATGTTTAAGCTACATGCAAATCACCCATTTTGTTAAAAGCCTTGGCATTCGAGTCTTACCTAGGTAGTATTTGAATCCTGGTCTTCCAGCTGATTTGTCTAAGTCCAAAACACTATTTGGTAAAAGTGTAAAGTTAAACTTAAAATGTAAAAAGATCCTCGGGGATGAAGGTCGGGTCAGAGAAGAGTCACTGAGGATAGTCTTGGAGTATTCTTAAAGTCATATTCTTTACTCTTGGGCGAATTGAGTGTGCAGGCTTGACCAAGAAGGGCAGCCGGCCCTAGTCTTGGTTTGACCCATATGGCAGTAAACTAGGTTTTTAATTTAGCCGGCCCTAAATCTCTATGTGGGCTTGGGCCTAACTTGGGGATTAAGCTTTTAACCCTAGTTTAGTCTTCATAAATAGCGATCTCTGTGCTTGTAATTTTATGAGCACCTGAATAATAAAAACCCTAGTTGCAGAGTAGATATTGGTCACCCGACCAAACCACTATAAATCTGGTATTCCCTTTTCTTCATTTTGATTTCCGTTTTGTGCTTGTTCTTTTTTGGTTGTGGTTTGCTATTCGTAGATACCCCAAACAACTGGTATCCGAAACTTAGGCTCGTGATCATTGAAGTCTTCCTTCGGGTTCGTGGAGATCAGGTTCAAATCAAAGATTAGGGTTTCAAAGGGTTTGAAGATCAGTTCCACCACCGTCATAGTTTCCGCTGCAGAATACGGTTTGTACCGTCTCCTGAACAGTAACCTTGCCGCCACTGTGAACAGCCGCCGCCGCTAGGGCTCTGATTAGCTGCCGCCAAAAGCTTAGTTCGTTATTGGTTTTTCAATCTCAGATCAGTTTTTTTAGCTGTGTATGGAATCAATGGCAGATGAAAAGATAAAGATTGAAAAGTTTGATGGAAGTGATTTTGGGTTTTGGAAGATGCAAATCAAGGATGTTCTTTATCAGAAAGAGTTATACCAAACGTTATTGGGAGAAAAGCCAGAAAAGATGAGTGATGCAGATTGGGTGATTTTGGACATGAAAGCTTTGGGAGTGGTCAGGTTGTCATTGGCGAAGAGTGTTGCTTTCAACATAGTCAATGAAACAGCTACGCGCGGGTTAATGAAAGCTTTTTCGAATATGTACGAGAAACCCTCAGCAGTGAACAATATGTTTTTGATCAGCCAGTTGGTTAACACCAGAATGAGGGAGGGTGCTTCAGTTACCATTCACATTAACCAGTTTAATTTGGTCATAACTCGGTTAGTATCAGTTGGAATTAAATTTGATGATGAACTTCAGGCGTTGCTGCTTTTATCTTCTTTGCCTGACAGTTGGTCTCGAATCTCTATGTGGGCTTGGGCCTAACTTGGGGATTAAGCTTTTAACACTAGTTTAGTCTTCATAATAGCAATTTCTGTACTTGTAATTTTTTGAGCACCTGAATAATAAAAACCCTAGTTGCAGAGTGGATATAGGTCACCCGACCGAACCACTATAAATCTTGTGTTCCGTTTTCTCCGTTTTGATTTCAGTTTTGTGCGTGTTCTTTTTTGGTTGTGGTTTGCTATTCATAGATGCCCAAACATTTACTGTACATACTAAGACCTAAAAGACTAACAAGCCAAGAGGCCTTCAAAGTATTCGGTCTTGATCCTTCATTCGTGATTAAAGTGTCCCTTCATTATCAAATCCTAAACCAGTTTTTCGTAGCTCTTGAACAATCATACTCTTAGCCTTGATGCTAATTTGATTTGGCCTTTTGTCATTATCAAAACCTAAAGACAATGTGTAAGAATCTTTGCAATATACATATTCATGTAATAGCACATTGTCCAACAAGATAGATGATTTGTTGTGGATATTGTATTATAGTTGGTGGAAACTTAATCTCCTTGAAAATCGAGCAACAAAGATGCTTGCAAGATCAAGTGTTCTCGGCAGAGAATCATGTGTTGGGCTGATGGCTCTTGCATAATGGGAGATCCTATGGCTAAAACATCTCCTCCAGGAATTAAAGTATATAAGTAAAGACCCAACACATTTAGGGGGCGTTTAGTAGATATTATGTGGTGAATGTTACTGATTTGAACTGATTGTAGTGTACTTTTGACCTAAACAGTACTGAATTGAATGGTACTGAACAAAACATTACTGAATATTAGTCCAGCTGAACAACCCCTATATTTGTTACAATCAAGCGCAGTACAAAGCCGATATTCCATGAGAGGCCATGAGCGGACTAAGCACATTGCAATTGACTTGGCACTTTGTTTGACAAAAGATCACATATGGATGCACGGTTACTAAGCATACATAATCAACTTTCATTTTGACAAAGTCTCTAAGATGTTTAAAATAAAAATTCTTAACAAGCATGGTGTTTATAATTTGGATTTTGTACGCTCTAGCTTGAGGGGAGCGTGGTCTAGACAAGTAGACTTGTAGAATATATTCCTTCATTGCTTAGGTTGTCAAGGTTATTTCATTGCTTAGATCATTTATGCTCAAGTTATCACTTAAGATATTCAATTTAGCTATTTTGTACAAATTTGTTGAGATCAAGAGAAATAACAAGTTCAATCCTACCAAAACTAATTAAATTGTTAAAAAGGAAAGATATTAATTATTAGCACACACCCATAATTAACAACCACTTTTAGAGGAAACTAAATCACTCTGTAAGGTTCCTTTATGGACATACTAATTACTAATTTGAAAATCATGCTTTGGTAGTCTCTTTCTCTTCTGTGCTTTTTGAGTCTTTCCTCATGTGAGCTGGTTTTTTCTGATTGTAGCTCATGATGTTTATGAATACATGCATTACTCTGTGAGCCAGTAGTACTTCATTTTATGGCACCTGAATTGTCAAATTAATACAATTTCAGAAATCAAGCTTGTGGATGTTCCTGAGATGAATTACACATCTAAGGACAAGCCCTATCCACGGGGAGAGATCTGTGTCAGGGGTCCCATTGTTTTCCAAGGCTATTACAAAGATGAAGGGCAAACGTATAAGCCTTTCCATTGATGCATGTTTAGAATATCTTGCAGAATTTTGAGGAAGACCTTGACTAACATAGAAAATTGACAGGAGAGAGGTACTTGATGAAGAGAGTTGGCTGCACACGGGAGATATTGGATTGTGGTTACCTGGGGGTCGTTTGAAGATTATTGACAGGTAGCATCCTCTTTCATTATAATGAGATTGGTAGCTTAAACATATACTCCCTGATTCTCTAAATTATTGTGCACTTTGACCAGGCATGAGATTTAGAAAAATGAGATCTGTATTGTTGAGATATATTTATAAGAGAAATAATATAAACCACATATTGCCTTCATTGAAAAGAAATAAGTGATAATTTAGGTACAATAAAAAAAGGAAAGTGAAATAACATAGGAACTGGAGGAGAACATGTCATTAGTTTGGTATTAGGTATTAGTTGTCTGTTATGTACTGGTCTGAGTATATAGTGTTTGAATTTTTGAGCAACTAGCCACCTATTATTTTAGGAATTAATAAGATGCTGTTTTATATTGGTTGTATAAATGTTTAATTGTCATGGTTTACAGGAAAAAGAACATATTTAAGCTGGCACAGGGTGAATATATTGCTCCAGAGAAAATTGAAAATGCTTATGCCAAGTGCAAATTTGTTGCACAATGCTTTGTATATGGTAAAAAGACACCTGGAATTTGCGTGCTGGAATATTTTTTTTAAAATTCTGTCTGCTCACTTGTTTTCTGTCTGCAGGTGATAGCTTGAATTCCTCTCTAGTTTCTGTGGTTTGTGTAGATCCAGATGTGTTGAAGGAGTGGGCTACATCCGAGGGTATTAAGGTAACTTTTCATCACTACTATCAAAATTCTCAATTGCAACTTTGTTAAAAATTATTCCTAATTGAGAAAACATTTGGATAATAGTATGAAACTTTGCAACAACTATGCAATGATCCAAGAGCCAGGGCTGCCGTTCTAGCAGACATGGATGCTGTAGGAAGGGAGGCTCAGGTATAGCATTTCAGGTTTTCTTAACTTGTGTTTGTTTAGGTGTGTGGGAACGTTCAATTAGCTCCAAAATTTTTCAGATGCGAGTTATGTATTGAAAATAGTAATTATACTAGTTTAGTATAGGTACCGTTCTTTTGACACCGATCCTAGGTATCATTTTTTGACATTGAGGTCTTATGTGAGCCATGTGGTGCTCCATTTCACTTGAAACTGGGTCTTACCCCTCACTCCCTCCCCAAACCTTCACAACTCACCCCTCCTCTCCCAATGACACCAGCCCCCTGTCCTTGTTCATTATTGGTGACAAGGGGCATCACCCCATGCACCTTCTTTAGGAAATCCACAGTAGTTGACATCAAATTTAGGGTCAATTTTCCTATAGGGTTATGCTCATTATTTTCTCTATAGAAGCATTTTAATAGTCTTTAGACATACAGCTGTATGTCAAAACAATATTAATATAATTGTACTTCATCCAGGGTTAGTTGTCTACTTGTTTTTTGTCTGAAATTAGTTATCCACTTTCCATTTTCAATAAAAAATTCTCCCTCCTGCCCAGAATTATCGTCACTCTCGATAACTTTTGTTTGTTTTCATGTTTTGTTGATCACTAAAATAAAATATTCTTTTCACCTCTTGTTTTGTAGAACTTTTGATGTAGTTTTTAAATGTGTAATTTGTACATTTAATTTCTATACCGATTTGTAAACAAAATAGATTTAAAGAGAAGTGATTTTGCACGTTGTTCGAAGTGAGACCATAATTTTGGGATGGAAGGGAGTATGAAGTGTCCAAAATATCCTAGAATCAAGTATAAGCATTGATGACACGATTGAGTAGCAACATTTGAAAGACTTATTTGACATTCTAGACTCATCTTTTATTAATGAGGTTTTTAGAAAGTGAAATCTGGATGGAAAAAGTAGCAAGTAGTTTTTAACAATGCCCTATTCTTGTCTCTAAACAGTTGAGAGGGTTTGAATTTGCGAAAGCTGTCACCTTAGTAGCTGAGCCATTTACAATTGAGAATGGTCTCCTTACACCCACATTCAAGGTGAGTTTCTAAACTTACCACTCGAATATGATAAAACTAGTTTTTTAATAGTCTCCAACTAAAATTTAGTCAATTTAGTATCTGCATTTCAAATTTTTGTGCCCCATCTGTTAGGGGACAAACACCACATCCCAATTTGGATAAATTTTCAGTCTAACAATGTTGGTTTATTTTTTCAAGTAATTTCTTGAAAATGTCCTTTATAACATGGGGTTTTCCACATATAGTCCACATTGTGAAAGTATTATATTTATGTTCTATATTTGAGAACTATTCCACAATATGCCCTTTGTGTTAATATGGCTGGTCCTTCATATTTTGGAACTATACCCCACAACTCCTAAAGTCGAATTGTTCCCAAATATAGAGAACCACGGATATAATATTATCACGAAGTGGAGTACATGCGGAAAACCTCATGTTATAAAGGGCGTTTTCTGGAAGTTTCTTTTTTTGTTTTTAATTTTGTTACCCTACATGTTGTAGAAAACTGATAGGAAGAACAGATTGGTATGCAGAATAGAATTTTTATTGATGTAAAAACTGTCCAGGATTATTTGTGTTCTCTAAATATAAATAGAGAACAGACCAACATGACTTTTACTAACCAACACCCCTATTACAAACCAACACACCTATTAACAATAGAAACTACCCATAACTGCCTTTTAGAAGCTACCCACTGCTTTTTTAATTAATTAAATATGTAAAACACACTAAACGACACCACACTAATTGACCCGAACAGACTCATTACCCATTCGGTTATATGTGAACAAACCCGATTATATCTAACAATCACGCCCCTAATCGTTGTTTGTTCACACTGATCTTTACAGCAATGTTGGTTCATCGTCATCTTTAATCAAATTTGCAATGTGTTCCTTTTGATCCCATTTTGGATATTCGTTCAAAAATGCCCTAACTCATTGCACTTGAAGCACCTAATGCGACTCTTTTCCCGCTGAAACTGTCCACCATCCCGACTTTTCCTGGACCCCCGACCTCTACCTCAGCCACGTCCAAAGTCTTCACAGTTTGAGCTCCCGGAACCACAATGCTCAGTCTTGTGCTCCTTAACCTTCTCTTTTCCATCACTTTTAGTGAATAGTAGTTTACCTTGCATATCTTCTTCCTCAGGTTAAGGTTGGAAAACTGTTAACTATTCTCCCTTGTAGTCACAATCTGTCTTATTTTTGTTGTTCTCCCATTGTACGACTTTTATTCCTTCGACAATTTTCACAAAATTCTTAACTTCGATTCCTTCCCGGGTCGTAAGCCACCTGCAATCCACCATCATCCAGAAAACAAGCCCCTGCTTTTCCGTCTTCCAAGCCACTAAACGAAAGCTACCCCGCTGATTCGTTTTTCCCGCGCTGTTTGGATGGAATGCTTCTGCCAAAGGAAAAAATTAGCCACCTGCTATTTTTGTCCTAGGCAAGGAAGAATCCTGTCGAAGATTCTTGATCTGTTGTCGAGGAAGTCTCTAACACTTTGTATTATGATTTGGCAGCCCTTCTACTCCCGATCATACAACTCCTGATCACAAGACACAGACAGACCGCTCCCTTTGATCGTTGGGTCCTTATTGGGTTTTCGCTCTGATACCAATTATTAGACAGGACCAGAACAAAGCAAAACAGAATATTTTATTTAAATAAAAACTGTCCAGGATTATTTGTGTTCTCTAAATATAAATAGAGAACAGACCAACATGACTTTTACTAACCAACACCCCTATTACAAACCAACACACCTATTAACAATAGAAACTACCCATAACTGCCTTTTAGAAACTACCCACTGCTTTTTATTTAATTAAATATGTAAAACACACTAAACGACACCACACTAATTGACTCTATACTAACTAACCCGAACATTGACTCATTACCCATTCGGTTATATGTAAACAAACCCGATTATATCTAACACATGTAAGATTATACCCCGGAGTATATGTATTTCAAATAGAGGGATTATTTGACAAAACATTTCAGCGCATGGAACTTGTCGGCACTTTAAAAAAATTGAAATTCCCAAATGTTGAAGATTGCATTTCTGTCCAAACTTAGCTTCGCCCTCTGTTTTGGACCTGCGTTTTAGGTTAAGAGGCCACAGGCAAAAGCATACTTTGCCGACGCAATATCTCAAATGTATGATGAGCTTTCCAGATCGGATCCTGCACAGAAAATAGTTCTCTAGCCAAAAAAAACAGAGCAAAGCAAATGAATGCTTCAGGTGCCCTGCTTATTTCTCCTCTTATTCTCAAATAAAGAAAGTGCCCTTGAAGCTAATGTTGTATTTTCAAGCATACCACACTTCTGTTTTCGTATAGATATTACAGAGTATAGCCGAAAGGATTCTTTTAAATACACGACGAAAGAGCACTTACAGGATGAAAAGCTAAAAATAATAAGGTATTTAACTGTTTGTTTCATGGCTTTCAAATGAAAAATAATAAAATCATGTTTCTCTTGATGATGCAAAGACATTATTTTGACTGCTATTCAAGTTAGAGACAGTATGATACAATTCCATGTGAGTCAATAATACGGCCCATTTTTAGAATAATGAGTATTTGGAGACAGGATTGGCTTGTATTTTGACTATTTTCATGTCCAAAAGATTGAACAGGGAAACTAAATAACAAAAAACATCTCAACAAAGGAGAGTTCTAAAGGAAAGAGAGCTATACCAAAGAATATATCCCCTCTGTCCAAAATGAGACTCATTGTTACGGAGTACTATTCATTGGTCAAATTAACTCTACTTTCTTTATACATTTTCGTCAATCATTTAATAAAATAAAATAACTTTGTCACTGTTTTGTACAGTACTGAGCATAAATTTTGATGTAGTTTTTAAATATACTCTTTTCATTCGGAAATGTTCTTCACGTGTTGACTTGACACGCTTATTAAACAAAAGTAAAAAAAGTGCCAAATTTTCAAAAATTCATGTACTCTAAACTTTTAGAGCTTCTTTTCCTATTAAAAAAAGCAATAAAAAAAGAAGATTAGTGGTAAAATAAAAGGATATTATTAAAATTTATCCTTAAAAAGTAGACTAAAAAAAGGAAATGGAAAGAATATTTCTGAATGGACCAAAAAGGAAAATGGGAAGAATATTTCTGGAAGGGGGGAGTATAATTTTTATGTTTTAATTCTACACTAATTTTTACTTACATTGATTTGAAAAATAATTTCATTCAAACATCGTAAATCGAACGAGAGTCTTATTTTGAGACGGAGGCAATATACAGCAAAAATAAGTATTTCCATATAAACATAATTCATTCCTCAACAGTCCCAAACTTCTCCGATCAAGGACTTTGATAAATGTCTTGTACTCCTATGTTTTTCTTGAAGTCTTGAATACTAACACGAAAAAGTATAGTTCCTTCAAAATTATATGGAGTAGTAATTAATCTTGATAATTGAAATTTTACTTGAAAGTTGAAACCTCCGAGTTTCAAACTAAAATCCTCTCAAAAGTTTTATAAAAGAACAATTCTTATGTTTTTTTAGCGGGAGATGAATAACTTTTATGGTGTTTCACAAATGCTATTGTTTTTAGGTCATAGAATAACTTTTAGGTTATGTTTTGGAGCGTTACACAAATGCTATTGTTTTATGGTGTTTCAGACGACTGTTTTCGATTGTTATCCTTGTAAGTGTAACTGTGTTTTACTGGAGGTCTGAATGCGATACGGATTATACAATCAAACAAAAGTTATCGAGAGATAGGTCACAAAAAATTATAATCCATTTCGGAATGGATGGAGTAATTGAAATTTGGATTCATTTTTTGTTCTTATGGTTGCTCTCTTTTTATGTTTCAATTATTCTTCGTTCGGCTTATTTTATTTTACTATTTAATCAATTTTATTTCATGGATCATTTTAATTAAACAGAAAAGTTGTACCATGCGTTCAATTTTTTTGTTTGTTCTATTCGATATTTTATTTTTTTTGTGATTTTTTAATCTTTATAGTAAATAATTAAACAAAAGAAGTGAATAAAATAATCCCAAACTAAACAAAAAAAGATGAAAAAAAACAACAGACAAAAAATATCGTAAACAAACAAATAAATAATATTGAAATATCTAGAAAAAAGATAAAAAAAAAACAAATAAAATCATTAACAAACAAAAACATTGAAAACAAAAATACTACTACGTGTTTTTGTTATTTGTCTTCTTTTTTCTGTTTTTCATCTTTTTTATTTAATTTGGCTTTATTTTATTATTTTTTTGTTTAATTGCTTACAATAAAGATTGAAAACAGATAAAATAAAATGACAAAAAAATATAAAATATAACAAACAGAAAAAGAATGACCTTCAATTGTTTTCACTTTTTTTATGAAAAAAAGTATATAAAAATACCAAACAAAAAAGATAAGACGTTTGTTAAGACAAAAGATAGAAAAAAAAACAAAAGATTTAATTGTTTGCGACAAAGATTGAAAACAAACAAAAAAAATAAGTGAAACAAAAAAATCAAAAAAATAAAAAAAACAAACAAAAAATTAGAAATTTGTTAACAAAAAGATAGAAAAACTAACAAAAAAGTTACTAAAAAAATCGTAAACAAACAAACAAATAATAATAAAACATCAAGAAAAAATAGAAAAAAACAAAAAAACAAATTTACAAATAAAAAAGACCGAAAATAAAAAAAAACTAAAAAGACATTGGAGTATCAGAAAAAAATTTGAAAAAAATAAAAAAAGTTATTCAGCAAAAAATCGCAAAAAAAACACTTAAAGAGGGAGTTAAAATTAAAAATAGAGGGGACTCAAGATGGGAGGTGGGGTTAAACACGAAGGGAGGGGTGGGTTGTTGTGAGTGGAGGGTTTAATGCAGAAGAAGAAAAAATGGGTGAAAGAAGGAAGAAGAAATAAAAGGCGTGAAAGAAGAAGAAAAGGAAGGGGGTGGGAGGGGGGGAGAAGAAAAAAGAAATGAGGTCAAATTGAAGATTTTAAAATATATAAAATTGTAATTTGGCCCAAATGAACTGATGATCGCCTGAAAACCGGCTCCAGGTACCATTTGTGATATATTTTCGAAGTTCAGATATTTTTGTGAAAGAAAATGAAGTCTATGCACCAAAACGAAAAATACCTGAAAGTTCAGATATCATACGTGAAATTTACCCTAAATAGTAAACATAGAATTTAAAGTAAGAAGTTCAACATATTAATTATTAGACACAACATAAGCCACGAAATTCTAAAGCAACTCTTGAAAGGGAGAACTGTAGTGGTTATACTCCGTATTAAGGATTGTATTTGGGAAACATATCTACTCAATACTCACTGAGAGTTCTTTCATGCAATGCAAACTCTCCAAATACTCTTGTAAGGGTGTAAATAATCTTAACTGTTGGGACTAGGGGTGGGCACGGGCCGGGCTAATATTGTTAGTTCCATGGTGTTGGCTAATCTTTTGGCAAAATAGAATCCCATATTTGTTAGATGTTTTACTAGGTAGAAACCTCTATTTGTTAGGAAAGGTTTATTTTATTTAGACTTCTAGAGCTACTGCAGTTTTCGAGGTTGACGCATAAGATGCTACAACACGATGCTGCAACACAGTGTGCGGGATCAAAGGTCTGAGCACGGGGTTTTAAGCTGCAATCTGAATTAGAGACCTATTGGGATTGTGATTACATGATAATAACTCCAGCTGTACATGCTAAGGAATCCCAACTCTTTAGGCTACTTGTGGATCAAGATTAATGAAGTAGAGTTCAAGCCAACTTCTACTATCATATTCCTACTAGGATTGTGTTAAGAGGAGTCTATAAAAACGCAGCTAGTCCCTAGGAATTACGAGGAGCGATTGAGAGGGAAAACAAAGAATATACGCTGATGTAGAGCATTCCCGTCGCATCCCGGAGCTTCCCTTGCGTGAAGAAGATTACGATCTACATATAGGAAGAGATATTCAACGCCAAAACAGATCGTGACAACCAGGAGATGAACCAGAGCTTAAGGAGAGGGCTGCCAACACGTTTGTCTTCGTGATCTCGGTGGAGATGTGATAGCCGAAGCGGATCTGAACAGAGTTCGGGTTAGAAATCCTAGATTAGATGTTTTGTCATAGCAATTCGGAGAAGGGTGTCTCATCATGTTGTTATGTACCGGTGTAACTTGCATCTAGTGATTTAGTGGAGGGCTATTACACGAACGCGGGCCCCGCAGACTAGGAGAATTTGCTCCGAACTGCGTAAACATATCTGGTGTTATTTTTTACGCTTTTTACAGTTACAGCATTCTGCCCAGTAGGCGCTATAACACCCTCTGCGTCATCTGCTTCTGTCTGTGTGTGCTTGTGACAGAGAAGTGTTATAGCACACTGTTCGTCATCTGTTACTGTGACAGTGCTGCAGCATCTTCTCTACAACATAGCTGGTTGATTTGTTTGCATAGTTCTTAATTGGTGATTTCCGATGCGCCCCCACGAACTTTCAAATATTTGTCAAACTCAGATCCGGCTTGTTTTTATTGATATGGTCCGAGCCGGGCCGGGTCTTTAAAAATTTATAATTGGAACCGGACCTAATCCGGCTTGTTTAAAACGGGCCTATTCCAGGGGTCAACGGGTCTAAACTTATCATGTTCAATTTCACTTATTAACCCAACATTATAATTTAAAAATAAAGATTCTATTGGTGCATTAATATCCATTTGCCACAAGAAACTCTCACTGCTAAGTTCTGAAATGGCTAAAATTACAACTGACTGGCTAATTTACTCAGAACCCTTCAACACTTAAAAACGTGAACAAATGAATGAAGTATTACTACATAATGGCCTTGTTTAGAAACAACATTTAATCTCTAACCCAACCCTAATAGCTTGTCACTTAAAAACGTGAACAAATGAATGAAGTATTACTACTTCAAAATACGTACGCTTGTCACGATTTTAATCTCTAACCCAACCCTAATAGCTTTCTCATAACATGAGTAACATGTTGCCGTAGAGCTTCTCTTAAGCGAGCAAACAACTCCAAAAAAACATCCCATGTGTAAACTCACAGAAACAAAGTAGTCCATTAGCCCACACACAAACTTGTATGCACGATTAAATCAGTTCATTATTTATAGTTGTCCCACACACAATTAGTTTTTGATTATCTCCTCTTTATTCTGTAGGGAAAATATAGTCGTATGACTAAATTAGTTTCCGGTATTTTTTTTATTTGGATCACGTTGAGACGTAATCTCTTGTTATGAGACATATTTCATCATCAATCTTGTTAAGATTGAATTAAAATATTAAAAAAAATAGCAACAACACCACTTAAACCAAATGGTGAATTCTATGCAAGTATAAAGTTTAAACTAGTCTTTACCGTTAAAAAACAGATACTCTTCATTCGAAACAAAAAAAAAAAACACAAAGTGAGAAACACTAAAAACAAAGCAAAACACAGCTCTTTAGTAGTTATAATAATGATTAATGACCCCCTCAAATTGTGGTAACTTCATCACCACAATTCAAGGAGTAGGGTAACAAATATTTGAACTCCCATAAAAATCTTCATTATTCTGCATAATTTGTTCAAAAAGTTCAGAGTTCACCAATGAACCCTACCCTAATAATTTCCTAATATGAATCTCTAACCAAAAGTCTAAAATAATCCTAAAATATTTAAATCTAAAATAGTAAAATCTATGGGGTTAGGACTGAGGATACAAGATTGAAGATGTAGATTAATTGCGAAGATTGAAATATAACATTGGAAAACGTGAGTATCTTAATTAAGAGATGAGATTAGAAGCTTACGACTGGACACGATTCACCAGAGATGAAATCAATTAAGGAGACCAACGGCTCAGGTTGATGAACGAGAATCACCGGAGATAATTTGCGACGAGCGAGATCCGAACCAGAATGAGCTCCTACGATGGTCGATGACTTTGTTCTGCCTCTTTTACGTATTACTTAGATTGGGGTGGACTACTGAGCTAAGTAATTGTTAATAGAATTAAATACAAACGGGCCGGTCTGGGTCCTCAAGCTTGTGCTCGTGAAAACAACTATTTATGTATGAATCACTTTGTATAAACACACACACACACATAAACATTTTGAATACAAACATGTTAGTGAGCATAGCTCATTTGGTTGAGTTAGGGGTGCTAAAGAAGGTAAATCCAAACTTGATTCCTGACAATTGCACTGGAAGGCTATTATGCTAAAGCAGACTTTGCAAATATCAGGAACAGACTTCACCCTTTGCTAGCGAATCTGTGATCAATTACCTCCAATTTAAATGACCGTCCGGCCAGTTCTGACGGGACCCTCAAGGATATGGCTCATCCTTTTTTAAAACACTATTTTTTACAATCAACCAAATAATCCCAAATTCAAAGTGCAAAAGGGATTTAAAAATGTAGTGAGTTAAGTCAAATAGGGAAGGGGGCCTTTAGTATTAGGAAGTCCAATTTGAGAAGTGTCACTCTAGTTTTGGTACGGAGGGAGTATGATTTAATTACTCTGTGTATGTTTGGTTACAACTTACAAACAATGGTTACGCTTTCATAGTATAGATTACATGAATGGATCAAGTGGGCTTGACGATCATTGGCCTGGTGTTGTTCCACAGCCATTCGCGTGCAGGACTGTCAAGTAAAGGCGAAACCTGTCAACAACAGCAGCTCTAAACATCAACGGCAGGTTTGTCAAGAATGTCAATGACAGAACACACTAATAAAACACATTTCAATCTTCATCCATGCATTTTAGATTATTGATATATATTGTGTTGATATTTGTCATCACTTTGCCAGTGAAAAAGCACTGGGCCCCACACGAGCAACTGATAAGGTCTTAGGTTGGACCAAGGCAAGACCAACATTGAAATAGTTTCTGTTAAAAAACTGAAAACTGGACTTTTGTATGCTCAAATAGAGATGTAAACAAAAAATTACAGAAAGCTGAGGCGTATAGATCCTTCCTTACCTTCTCCCAAACGAGCAAGTGGTAACTATTCAGCCAACCGATCTCAGCAGCAGAGAGTAACAACAAATCAACCAATTTAGTCTACCAAAGAAAAAAACACATCAGGAATAAGCATCCCGAGTGACCGAAAGCCACGTAGACAAATCACAAAATGAATGCCATGAGTTCTGATTGTGTTAATGTAAGGAAATGGGGAAGAAGAAAAAAAACTGTTGGATGAACATCATTCTTGAAAGCTCGTATACCTGTATTGGAACAAAAGTAAGTTTTTCAAACCCAAGGTATCTAAGTCCGCCAAAATGATTTGGAGTGTTCATTTCCTTGACATAAAGAAGATTCTGGAAAGCACAGTTTAAATATCATAATCAAATGTTAGAAAATGCACCAAAAGAAGTGTTTTCAGAAAGAAGTCTGTTCAGAAAGAGTAAAGCTTGAGTTGACTTGCCAGAAGTAACCCAACTAGATACTCTCATCATAGATGGGTAGAACAGGACATAAAGATTTAACCACACAGATATGCACTACCTCAATCCGAATGCCAAATGAATGGTCTTCGTAGTAGCCAGGCTCGTTGCTGACTACCATCCCTGGTACCAAAGGAGTCGTGTTTCCAAAACGGAAACTAATACTTTGTGGGCCTTCATGGACATTCAGTGCAGCTCCTACACCATGCCCAGTTCCTGGAGGAATACAGATCCCAAAAAAAGAATTCAAAATAAAAATGGAAACCTTTTTAAATATTCAAGTAGAATACATGATAGTACTAAAAACACAAAGTGGTACTCCCTTTATCCCAACAAAGGTTCCAAATCTTTCCATTTGCCTTTTTATGGTCAAAATTGATAAACTTTGATCATAAATTACAGAAAAACTATATTGAACTACAATTTAAACTTGATATCACTAGATTCATCTTAAAGTATACTTTTAAAATATCATATTTTGATAAAATGTATTTATATATAAATAAAGATATTAATGATGTAAGTGTTGCATCAGAGACCGTGAAGTCAAGCACTTAAGAAAGAACATTATTTTGGGACAGAGGGAGAATTTAATCTTGCATTTCTCTTCTAGATTGGCAAACATTCAAGATAGTTTTCAGTCATATTAAGCATAGGAAAAATGGAAAATACAATTACCATGCCGGTAATCAAGGCCAGCCTTCCACAAGGATGATCGTGCAAATGCATCGAGTACAAATCCCGGAGTGTTTTCGGGGAAGACAGCCTGATCAAGAGCTATGTGACCCTGAAAAGGTTGGAGTCAGCTGCTAGAAACATTAAACAATACCAAACAGAACCCAATATATGCAACAAAGAGTAAGACAACTAGGCAAGATACACAGATCTTACCTCAACCCCAAGGGGTAAAGAGGTTTGTGAAAGGGCCATCAACAAAGGGTGACATGTTGTGTGAGTGGGTGGTGGTGGTGACGAGGTGGAGGATGATGATGATAAATGACATAATTAAATTATAAATTGCATATTTTCATTGATCACTTGATAAAATAAAATAGTCAAGTCACCTTTTGTTTTGTAACACTTTTGGTGTAATTTTTATATATACTCTCTCCGTCCCATAAAACTTTTCCGCTTTGTTTAAAAGTGAGATTTAAGGAATGTGTAATTTTGATGTTACTTTCCAATTTTGCACTTACATTATAGTAGGGCTCTAATAAGTAGATTACAATGAATAGATATGATGTCATAGATACATTAATAATTAGTAGGGGTAAAACGGAAATTTTAATTGAAAGTTGAAGTATTGTTTGGGGCGGATGGAAAGTGAAAGTGGAAAGATTTGTTTTGGATGAAGGGAGTATAATTTTAAGTTTTAATTTTACATCAATTTTTAATTGAATTGAATATATAACAATTTCAGTCAAACATTATAAACTATATCACGAAAACTATTTAAAAATAGAGGGAATATAATAAAACATGCATGCAATCAGAAACATTTGCGCTCATCCCCTACAAAGACTCTGCACTTCTTATATGTCTCCAGAACTCCTAAATGCAAGTGCTGACCACCACCAAACCACCTTGAGATAGCAACAACAGTCCAATAGCGTTCCACAAGTGGGGCCTGGGGAGGGAAGGTCTATGCAGAATTGCAGACCTTGCCCTACCTATAAAGGTAACGAAAATGTTTCCATCCATGAGATAAACAACAACCCAACATAAGCCCCCAACTCTGTTGCGGTCTGAGGGGTATAGATGTAAGCACTCTTGCCCAAGAAAATCAGAGGTTGTTTTCATTAGATCCTAGACACATTGCTACATTTATTCCCCAAAACTTCATAGGAAATAAGAAGCAAGAGAAGTTTAATGTGCACTTTTGATTTAGTCCATTATGTGCCTGAAACTAAACCATTGTTAATAGTGACTCTTTTACCTCCATCAGCAATGTACGGGGACCATGAAAATAAAGCAGCCAAGTAACATGTTATGATAATATAACTCTCTTTTAAAATATGTTACAAGAAATCCTTGAACTAGCAAAAGAAATGAACATGAAAAAAATACACCTGCAAAACCCGTGTGAAACATTCTTTCTCTCGTGAAGATGGTTCACCAAAATGCACTGTCCTAGTTATGTCAGTTGTCCCATCAACATATTGAGCACCACTGTCTAAAAGGAAAAGTTCATGTTGATTCACATTGCTGCAACTATCAGACTCTGGTTTGTAATGAATGATGGCACCATTCGCGCCAGAACCTGCTATGACATTTATAACAATGATGGATTTGAGATCAGGGAAGAGGAAACATGAATAGCCAGCCGTAAACCCAAAACTTAAGGCACGATTTGAATTTCTCCATCCACAAGACCCCTAGTTCAAAAACTTTAAAAAGTCAAGGACTAAATGCAGTAGAAGCTAACATGAATATTCTCATAGATGTCTGGTTTCTGTAAAACATTATCATTAGATATTGAAACCATCACATATAGTTGAAAGACAGGTTTTATAAGTCCGTGGTCAGACCGGCAATGCTTTATGGTGCGGAATGCTGGCCAGTTAAGAAAGTCCACATTTGTCAACTACATGTAGCAGAAATGAGGATGCTACAGTGGATGTATGGGCAAACAAGGTTGGATAGGATCCAGAATGAGGTTATGTGGGAGTGGCACCGGTGGAGGATAAGCTTCGAGAGGTTAGGTTGAGATGGTTTGGTCATGTGAAAAGGCGTGGTTAGGCAGGACTTAGGATACTTGGCTCTTACCAAGGATATGACCTTAGATAGGGACATCTGGAGATATAGAATTAGAGTAGTTGGGTAGTCGTTTAGTCTAGAGTGCTAGTTTTGTTCGTGTTGTGTTGTGTTGACTTAATGGCTTGACGTATTTCTTCTTCCAGTTGGATAGGTACCTTATGCCTTTGTGTACTCTGTCCTCTTGTCGTGCTACTTGATTTTTGTGTTGCTTGAGCTGGGGGTCTCTTGGAAACAGCCTCTCTATTTTTAGTGGGGGTAAGGTTTGTGTACCCACACCCTCCCTAGACCCTGCTTTTGTGGGATTCTACTGGATTGTTGTATTGAAAGCATCACATATGAGCTGATATTGCTTTATGCCATTGTGTGCACAAGTAATCATCATCGCCATCATCAGCACAGCCGCCGCCCAACTATGTTAGATTTGGAGGGATGTATCAGCATGCTAAACTCAACCAAAAGCTTAAACGTGTGATTAGAAGTCTAAGAAATGTTTTATACTTAACATACCCCCTCACATGAATGTCCTTTGGGCTTGAAGTGCAACTGCAACAAAGGTTCTTCCATACCTCGTGCATAAATCAACATTGAGGTTCCCCCACAACTTCCAGACGAACAAAGCTTTGATACCATGCCAAAGAAGCAACTCATGTTCACATAAAAGTTCTTTGACAGTTGACATGGTATTGGTACCAGTCTTGTTGGCTTAGAAATCGCAAATTTGATTTCTAGCAGTCACGTGTTAATCTATCCGCAAGGTATAGAGGAATTCTTGGTGCAGTAACACTTCATGTCCATGGACATTTGCATGAGGGGCGCATAGTATAGAACTTTGGCTTAGCCTCTAACAATTAGTTTACGCCTTCAACTGAATCGGATCCATGACATGGTATCAAAGCAATTTTTGGCCCACTTTGTCTCCCCATCTAGAGGTCCATTCATAGTGGCCCATGAGTCTTTAGCCTGGATATCTCCAAAGTCATTGGTTTTAACATCCGCTCCACTCGCGCCATCAATGTTCTAAGTGTGATACACAACAAAGCATTTCGGCTCATCCTCATGTGGGGGTGTATTGAGACATCTGGATATCTCCAAAGTCATTGGTTTTAACATCCGCTCCACTCGCGCCATCAATGTTCTAAGTGTGATACACAACAAAGCATTTCGGCTCATCCTCATGTGGGGGTGTATTGAGACATTGAGACATAAATATAAATAATAAATGTGACCTTTAACTATTAACTTGAGCTTTTAGTTGAGATGGTACACAACTCTAAACATGGCTTCGAGCCATATTTGAAGTTATTAACCATCACAATTCACAAATAACTCAAGCTAATAATTGGATGTCACATATATTCTTTATATTCACATCTCAACGGTATGAAAGTTATATATGGATGCCTTTCTTATGACAGAATTCTTAGAATGAATAATGAGATGTGATTCCAAAATCAATACCATCATAGGGGTTCTCTTGCTTGCATGGAAAATATTGTGTCCTTCATGTGTGTAGAACTATAGAAGCTAAATAAGATGAACATAAAATCCTCAAAGACAATTTGGTATGAACATTTTCATGATAACTAAAAACATGAGATCATTATCAAAGATTGAAGCACATTCAGAAGTTTATAGAAAAAGAAAACCAATAAAACAAAAAGGAGGGTTAATATACCACTTATAGTGTCAAAGCTTGTGTCAAGAAAGCCAAATTGTTTTGAACGAAATTCATAAAGTTTGTCAGCAACTTCTACCTCCGTCACACTCACATCCTTAGAGATGTTCTCCTCTAACCAAATCCAAAATTGTGCTAGAGCAGCAGCATCTCTGTACAGGACAAATGTGCCCATAAACAAGAAATGGTCAAATAAGCTCTCCTAGTTTTTGTAATGCATAACATAAGTACTTATACAAAAACAAATGTCATATACATATACTTGGTCATAAGTCATGATAAAAGATCAATTATGTCAATTCAGTTGGAGACTACATACTCGGGAAATTGCTCACGTGAATCTTCTTCTTTCCTAAGTGGAATAAATGTCATTATCTTTTCCATAATTGTGAGTGATTATCTTTTTCTTTATTTTCTTTGTCTTTATTTTCTTCTTTTTTTCAGTACTGAGGCATAATTGCACATATCATCCAATAAAGATTCTTGATTCTATCCACGAGTAAAAAAGTAAATGGGAAATGTGATGACCAGTGGAAGAAGGCGCTGAAACATCAGAAAAAGCATATTTTTCTGTCCAGTACAGTGAATCAGGGAGTGGACACAACAATAGAATCCATTCTAAAGAACCATTTCTCAACGTTGGGGGGGGAGGCAGAGCTTATGGGTTTCATTTTTCTCGCAAGAGTGATGGAGATGAAGTCTGGCTTTGAGAATGCCAAAATGGTAATGTGTAACTCACCCAATTCAGAGTTTCAAAGTACCAGAGTTAGTATTAGCATTATTTTTGTAAACGCAGAACTTTCATATTTTCGTATTGCACTCCAAGAAGTCCTCTTCATCTTTAGCTTGCTCAAAATGATCTAACACAAAGGAGGAACACAGTTCAAAGAAAAGAAAAAGCATATGTGGAAAAAATGATGACAACTTCTCTTCTGCTTAGGGAAGAAGAAGAGACCCATAAGTAATTTATGCACAAAAGCAGGCTGTTCTCGGTTAAATTGGCCCAATTGATCGCTTTTATGAGTGATCAAGTTTATGTGACACTTATTTCAGTACATGAACTTATGTGGGTTACAAAAATGGGAGGTTGATATGTGTTCAAATATAAAAATCCTTTCTTGGGCCACAACCACAAGCTTGAGCTTTTGGTTGAATACGTTCCTTGACATGGTATCATATCAGAGTCTTGTTGACTAAGAGGTCACGGGTCCGAAACTTAGTGCTTCCCAGTTTTTAAAAAATTTAAGGTTTCACGTGCAAGGCTCGAAAAGACTTGCCTACACGTGAGGGGGCGTGTTAGAATATAACAAACCTTTCTTGGGCCACAACCACAAGCTTGAGCCTTTGGTTGAATTGGTTCCTTGACAATATGTTCCCCGGACAAATCAGAGGTGCAACACTCTGAAACAAGTGTAATTTTGCTTACTTATTCATTTAGGCCACATTAGCTAAATCCTTTCTTTAGGATTTAGTACTTATTTAAATTATAGAGTATATTTTATTCAACTGGTTCTCAAAATAGGTCAAAACTAATCACGGGAATCTTTCATTCGTTCTCATTTTAACTGGAGTCTGAGTTTGAACTCTGGTAACTAAAGTTAGTGGTAACTAAAGTGAAGGTCTATAGTCAGGAGACTAGAGCCTCGAGCCTAGTAACTAGAGTCTCAAGTTTGGTATATTGGATTCTGGAAACTGGTAACCTGTCATATTGATTAAAATGTAATACAAAAGTAAAATAGATTTTAGTTTATATATATATATATATATATATATATATATATATATATATATGCAGCCACACACACTACATACTGTATATAAAAATGCTAAATACTTTAACAATAAAAATGTTTTAAAAAAACTAAAACATAGTAATTGTAATAAGTATTTGCTATTCCTATAAAAAGTTAGTATGGAAATATCAAAGAATTTGATCATCAAAAGTAAACATACAAAACATAATACGGAGTAATATGTAAGTATGAAATGATCTATATCTTACCTAGAACTTATATAGTGGGTTCTGGTAATGGAGACCGGAGTGTGGAGACTAGTCTCACTAAAGTGTGGATAATTGGATTATAAAGCTGAATAGAACAGGATATTAAGTCCACTATCCCACATATTTATAAATAAATTAGCTACGTTTAGGTTAACAGAAAAAAAAATATTATTGAGTTGATTCTAGGAGATTCTTCATTGGCTACCAGAATTGCTTAGGACGAGATAAGAAGCCAAACCAAATGAAGACACGAGTTTACTTAATTAAGGTGACAAATGACTTGTTTTAAGTGAGTTTAGTAGAGAGTTCTTTTCCTTAATTCTTTATGTTTCTAAAAGCTTCAGATTGAGATCATATCAGAGGGCTTATATGACCTTTTACCTTTATTAACAATATACTTCATCAGCTTATAAACAGTGCATTGGTGTTTGACAAGCTTGCATCGTTATGTTATGCCTATGATTGTTAAGGCAATATACTATTGAAACTAATCTATGACCATGAGTATGCCATATGAATGTCTTATTGAAACATCATGTGTTCTGATACAAGGAGCAAACTTTCTGTTCTTTAAAACCAAAACAGGATATCCCATTTTAGGATTGCAATTGGATACCACTGCTATTGACTTATTTATAAAAAGTGGTATAATAACATGTGGCAGCTACAGTTTTAGTTACCTTAGATGACAGCTTTGCATGCCTTCTAATTCTGCACTATTTTTCACAGCTTTGGCCATAGAGACAGGAGAGCTCCTATATAATGCCTGGGGCTCCCTAGAAACACCATTGGAGTCCAAACTTGTGCCGCCCTTATTTCCCTTTCTTCCTCCAAGGCTCCTAGAGTATCTATCACATGCAGACGTGTATGCATTTTCAATAGCAGCATTTACAGATGATTTGTCCAACCATAGATTTGCTCCTTTTTCTGCCAAACTGAACAGAAACATTTTACTTCATGAGAAAATAAGGTCATGCTTCTTAACAATATAAAAGAAACATTCCATGGTCATAGCCCAAGACACAAATCCAATGCATTTATGTTACAGAGATATGGCATTAAGAAAACAATAATTTTATTAAATCATTCCACTATCCTATGGTACTTTATTGTGTACAGTGAACACCAATCAGACAGACATTTATTTCAAACAGTGTGACAGCTTGAAAAAAATTAGTTCACACTAGCCTCATGGTACAAAGAGCAAACCGTTATAGCATACACATTTTTTATTTGCACCACACAACCTTGAGGATTAGAAAACATACACATTAAAAATATATTAAGTAAAGAGTATAAATGCAGAACCTTGGAAATCACCTTTCAATTTCAGAAATGATGGATTCATATGCTCTCAGTTCAATGCCTGCACTATTCAAGTAACCCCTAACCTCTGGTGTAATTTTTGAATCATCAATGAATAACTTTGCTCCATCAATCTCCACAATCAAGTATGCATACATTACGGGTGAATGCCGAACATCGCTCCCCCTCTGTACAATCATAAATGAGTTATTAATGTCAGTCTTTATCTCAGTGACAATGAGCAATGAAAAATGAACATTGCATTAGGAAAGGCAAAGCATGTTATACAACCAACGCTATTACTGATTGCAATGTCTCTCTTTCAAGCATCTCTCAATTTCTAAAATTAATTTACTGTATTAAAAGGGGAAGTGGGGAACCCCAGGTAAATGCATAACTTGAATAATCTCAGTTCATGTTTACAAAGAAAAAAGTCCCAACACTGCAATTAAAAGAGGCGTTATGAAGGCTATGAAGCCTATGATTGCTTACCAAGTTCAACAACCAGGCAATTTCATCAAGAACTGAAATAACAATTGCAGATGAACCCGCACTAATTAAGCTAGACCGCAAGGAAATTAACTTGGATAAGACATCTACACCAGCATATTTTAGGTCATGCACCCTAACTGGTTCTTTTGGAGGCTGTGGTCTTGATTCTCTCCATATTTCATCTACGAGGTTAAACTTGGATATGAACACCAGTTCATGACTTCCTGTAGATATGTCCTCTTTCAGTTTTTCTGCAGCATCTGAAGAAATAAGAAACTGGTCCCTTGGGAAAAGCCAAAACCAAAGCAACTTATCAGCAAAATACCATTGTTTCATAAAATAAAATGTTTTATGGAGGTAGAAAACACAAAATTAAAGATGTGCAACATCAAAACATAATGGATTTCTAGAAAACTGCACGTCAAATATAATAGGAGTAGAAATTATGAAAATTAATGTATCACAATGCCCTCAAAGTATGAACGATGTTCAGCATATTCTTTTACGGAGTAATTGGTAACCATTTTCAACACAGAGTTGCTCAACGCCAGTTGCTAAAAGTTATTCATAGTCTAACTTACATTATGTGGACTTGAACATTCAAATCTAATAACCATACTCCTTTCATTTTCATTGATAACAACACAAAAAGAGAATGTGCACGACTGAAAGTAACTCAAAGTAAGAGCACGCTAAAGGTACCTATTCAGTTAATTTACTTAACTACAGACTCATCATGGATAATAAAGGTTTTTAGAATATTTAAATGTTGGGGAGATAATAAAATGTTCAAACATATCTATTTTATGTTCGGCACAATTTTGTGAAGCAAAACATTCTAATTCTACTTGTTCAAAAAAGTATATATAAGGATATAACACATTGTAATTTTGTTTTTACAGGATGATGCGACATATTACTATCGCACAGATCAAGTTTGAGCAATACTCACAGGATCAATTCCAATCCTACACCCAGGTGGGAGAACACTGGTGAGCCACTCACTCATTGTAGGAACTCCCCAATTACCTGCTCGCATAAGAATCCAGCTAGAGCTCAACTGCTTCTCTGCCTGTCAACAGCAATATGTAAATTGATTATTATTATACCCACCATCATGCTACTAAACACTCCCAACACATAGAAAATAGAAGTCATGTGGTACAAATTGATCATGTTCACTTTCACACCTGCAGAAAGTAGCGTCCATCTGTCCACAAGGCTGCTTTGTCCTTTGTGACAACTGCAGTTCCTGCACTTCCAGTGAAACCCGATATATATGCTCTCCGCATATAACATTCAGCAATGAATTCACTCTAGAAATTTTAAAAGAAATGTCTTTATTGTCATTACTACAGTAATAATAAGAACCCAGATGAACATTAAATCACAGACTTCCTTTCTCCGAGAAGTTTAGGAAATATCTCCACCATTCTTGGAGTTGTGTAATAACCAAGTATTTTGATTATAGTCACTAAGAAGTGTTTCAAGCTAGTGCTACTTACGATCGTAAATTCATTATTAAAAATCACAAAACAAATCACTGTAAATAGATGTAAAACATAGAGAAAGTACCAAAATAGGAGTTTCCTATTATTTTTTTTCCTAAATAGGAGTTCGCATTGGGGTAATGAAGCACTGTACATGGGCATTTTACTATACTTTTTAGTAATGTACATAGTCATGATTGGTATTGTAAATGCATTTTAACTCCTAGTTCGGGAATAAAAACATAGAACTCCTAGTTTGGTATATTTTGAATGTTTTACTCCTACTTTAGTCTATTTCCCAAATTTCAACAAAAAAATGCATTATCTTTTCTTTAGTCCACAGAGAAACAAAACTACTCCTTGCTAATATTGCCACTGAATGACTGGCACTGCTAACATATTCGTAGTATAAGGCACTCCAAACAAGATATCATCATCTCCCTTCCTCTCCTTTATACTACTCTTCCTTCCCTTCCTCTCTCCCTTCCTCTCTCCCTTCCTCTCTTTTATACTACTATCCCTTCCCTTACCTTATGAAACTTCTCCCCTCCAATCCAAACACACTGTTAATAGTAGTACTGGACTAGATGATCAATCAGTAGAAATGTAATGAGCTTCACGAAGCAATCACTCAGGAAATTGCAAGTATTCAACATTCATTTAACATAAATTGCGTAAATGCGCAAAATCCAAGATGTATTGAAACATGAAAGAGACAGAAACGAAGAGAAATTAGATTATATAACGAGGCCTCGCCTGGTGGGCGTCTTGTGAAGGTATGATATAGGCGTCGATGTTGATTCCAGGCCTAGAAAAAAGTTGGCGGATGGCGTGAAGCTTGTTGTCCTGAACAGAATCGGAGCGCTGCTTCCGTAACTTCGGGGAAGGCTTGGCAGAGATGTCGCCGGAGTTCCGAACGATCAGAACGCGGCAATTTGGTGGATTTGAAGGAAGACTGAAAGGCGATTGGAGTTTCCGCAGAATCTGAATGGAGTGTGAGGGGAAGAGGAATTGGCGAGTGTGGTGCAAGAGGGTAGAGGAGCTGAGGATCATGGTGGTCGATAGAGACATCGGAGAGGTAGTTGCCGCCGTGTTCACGAGCTCCGCTCATAGGATGACAGGCGAACGGGAAGAAAGAGATGGACTAGTGTTTTTTCTAGAGCTTTAAAACCCAGTTTGGAAGAATTTCTGGAAAATAGTTTCAGGAAAATACTAGTTTGAGAAGTACCCATATAAATTTATGGATATTCTTATCTAAAAAAAACTTTTTTTATTTAAAAATAAATAAATATTTATTTAACTAGTAAAGAAATATTTATTTTGCTCATAATGTAGGTTCTTAGTGAACCTTAAGTGCACTATAGAATAGGTTTATTTTGTTCATTGACTTTCCTGAAATCATTTTCTTTTTGTTTGGTGCATTTTCTCCTCTCTTTTTTTGTAACCTAATAAACAATTTTTTTGTGTAAATTCACACCATGTCTATATATCAGTATATCTAATTAAGGAAGACGTTAATACTAAAGAAGACATTATTTTTGGGACGGAAATAGTACCTTAAAAGCACCTATTAAAACATGATGAAGAAGAAGACAATATTGAGAAATACTACTAAATGTATGATACTATCGAAAGAGTTTATGACAACACATAGAGTATGAAGAAAGTTTAGTCCGAATTGGTTATCATGGGTTGTTTTTTCTAGCTTATGTTTAATTATTGTTCAAGTTGTGCATTCGTTAACCTTGTGCTCAACTTGAGGGGAGTGTTAGCAGATATAATGAGATTTTGGTATTATTGGGCTTGTTAGTGGGCTTGAAATTAGGTTAGAGTTATTTTTGTATGAATAAGGCATTTGTGATCAATGTATTCATCAATTTCAGTTCTAATAATATGTCTACAACTACCCATTTATTTATTTTGATTTGACATAAAGATTGCATTGAGTCACGCACCAACTTTACTACGCACGCGTTTCTATAGTAATACAATACACATTTATTTATTTATTTTGATTTGACATAAAGTTTGCATCGAGCCACGCACCAACAATACTACGCGCGTTCCATATCAATATGCTACATATTTAGTCCATTAATTTAGGTGGGAATACTATTTAAAAATGTGATTATTTGAATATAGTTAGATAATGTGTCATTGTAATAAATGTGATTATATTCGAAGTCCTATCAAATAAAGGAGCCGCATGCATTAAAATTTGGATTGTGTTACTCATATTTATTAATTATTACTCCCTCCGTCCATGTATGATCTTCCCATTACGCGTTACGAAGCTTGACCGACTTTATTTTCAATTCAATTTAATTGATTATAGGAGTAAAATTTTAAAATAAAATTTATATAGTAATAAACTACATGAAAAGTTTTACAAAACTAGAGGTGACAAGAATATATTATTTTATGAGATGACTAGTAAAATTGAGTAAACAAAGTGAGTAAAATTTGACACTGTGAATAGTGGCTGGGAAATCTATGGTGGACAGATGGAGTAATTTTCAAAGTCCTTCACAAATATACATGTTTATTAATTCGTACTTATTTATTAAAAGCATACTATATATACAACAGAAAAATTACACAATCCATATATTTTTGAAAAATTAATATATATTATTTTATGTATTCTTTCTCTCTCTCTCTCATATATATATATATATATATATATATATATATATGTATGTATGTATGTATGTATGTATGTATGGCAATTTCACGCTATTGTGTGATATATTAAACAATACATATAATATTTTCATCTTGCGCATATATATATATATATATATATATATATATATATATATATATATATAACATTACTTATGCACATTTATGTGATGAAATAAAGTGTGTAGTACGGAGTATTACTTTAATATTTAATACGGTAGTTAAGTTCAAATTATTAAGTTTTTTTTATTTTATGTACCATTAAAAATAGTAAATGTAACGAAAAATAATCGAATTTTTATCGCGTAATAAAGATATTTCTTCATAAACATTTTCTTGAATTTATATTATACACATACAGTAAAAAGAAGTAATCGAATTTTTCTTTTGATATCCAATTCTCTTGGATTTCGACCGGTTAAAACCCTTCTTGACCCATTTTAGTTTATGCATTTCAACTAACCTTTTATTAGGACAATTTGTCACAATATGGTTAATTTGCGTGTAATAGTAGCAAGCCCGTACTTTTGATTTAGAAGTTGAGGCTTTGTTTGGTGGCGAATTTTTTGCGGTATTAAAATGGTTTTTAGCCATGCTCATTAAATTTATTGATTGACCATAACCAATACCTTCTTTCATTAGTTTTGGTTGGTTATCCCATTCCTTAATTGAGTTATAGCTATCATAAAACATTTTCAAAGCCTCTCGTTTGGCTTTGTCTTTTTCCTTAATCAAAATTTCGGTTTTTCGTTTGAAATCTTTATTTTGGTTTTGAAGCCTCTCAAGATTAAGTTTTAGATCTTTGTTTTCATCTCTAGAGGTTTCGAGAGCCACTTTGAGTTCCTTTTTCTCCCTAATGGTTCGAAAAAGGTCTTCTTGGCACTCATCAAATGCTTACCTTAACTCTTCAAAAGTAAATTGATTTTCAAAAGAAGTAAATGAGTTTTGGGAACTAACTTCTTCCTCATCATTTGTTGATAAGGAATGCATTGAATATTTTAATGAGTTTAATAGGGTAATGAACATACTCATTTTAATTTCTAACTTCGAATTGACGTGTGAAAGGATAGAAAAGGTCAGATTCATCAATATCTTGAACATTTATGAACACACCAAGCATGTTTAATAATCATAAATGTACCATCACATTAAATGTCATCACTTCTTCAACGATGTGTTCTTAAAAAGGTTTTTTTCCGGTTTATTGAGATGAGCGTGAACCCTCGTGCTCTGTAAAAAAGGAGAAAAGTCTAGATTAGAATAAATAAAAAATAAATGATTGTAATAAAATTAAGAATGTGATACATGTTCGTCGTGAAAGATGTTCTCCATTGAATCTCCGCCTTTTGTCCAAACCAGAACAAAGTAAACATGCATTACTCTTAACTTGAGCATCCAAGTGGTCCGATTATTGTCAAACTCTGCAACCGGATTCCACATTGTCTTTGTACATTTTTGAGACATTTGAGACATTTCGAATGTAAGGAGAATTCACTTTTATGAATTTGTGAGTTAGTGATTAAATGGTAGAAGAAGTATATACAAGATTTGGAAAATGAACTTATTAATCCATTCATTAAATGCTTGGATAAAGCAAATCAATATATTTAATAGATTTGACATAAAGCATTCATTGAGCCACACAATAGATTCGACAAATATTTTTACTTTATGGAAGAATGTACTACTTTATGAAAGAATGCACCAAATAATTCTTGAGCCACACAATGATTTGACACTATGAAGGTAATTCGAGAACCAATAAGTCCTGGCTCAAAATCGTCAGTCAGCCTCGATGTCCGGACCCTAACCCGATTTCATTGAGCAATTCTTTTGGCGGGAGCATTGTTCACTGACACATCCTAGCACGGTATATAGGAGGATTAGAATAAATAAATAGAATAATATATATTTTTGAGACATATTTCGAAAAAAGGGGGAAGTGTTTGGGATGAGATGGTGAGGAAGTGCCTACTGGATATAAGCAGTATATATAATACGGAGTAATTGGACAATGAATCTACGAACATATTCATTAAATGCTTGGATTTGATAAATCTATTTATTTAATTTGATTTGATATAAAGCTTTCCTTGAGCAACGCACCAACTTTTACTTTATTGAAAAGGGAGCCCATACATATCCCTTGAGCCACGCACCAAATCTTCCCTTGAGCAACACACCAAAATTTAATTTGACGCCACCCCTTAGACACAAATCGTCAGGTCCATATTCGAGTAGTCAGCCCATATCTGAGTACGCAGCCCATTTGTTTTGGCGGAAACACGCTTCACAAAACCATCATAGCATTCTGAATAGTAGGATGTAGGATATATGGGTGGAAGTGTGCAACTTCCACCTCTGGCTTTTGGTAAATGCTAGGGTGCCCCGGTAGGGTGCCAGGGTGGCACTGGTCCCTCGCTTTTTGGCCTTTTAGCTCGGCGGGAGTGCAGGCCTCCAGCTATTCATCCACCTTCTGGCTTGATCGATCTAATGCCACTACACTTGACCAATCATCAGCTCTCTCATGGCGATCATAACCGAAGAACCAGATTCGCCCACCCTACCCCTTAAACCCCATACCTCTTCTCCACCCCCCAAACCACGCACCCAGCTCCCCACACCACCACCACCCACCACCAAGAACGCCGCTAACCCATTTCAGTTCTGGCTCTATTTCACCGTTCTAGTGTCTCTAGTAACTTTCATCTTCATCTTGCTGTCTTCACTCTCCCCGCAAGATCCCAGGGCATGGTTCCTCCGCCTGCCTCCCAATCTGCGCCGCCACTATTCCACTGGCCGCACCATCAAGGTCCAGATTGCGCCCAATCTCCCCCAAGTTGAAGTCTTTTTAATCCAAGAAGGGCCCGTCAAGTCATTAGAAAATGTTCTCTTTGTACATGGGATTGGGTGTAGCACATTCGCATTTCAGAAAATCCTTGCTCTGTTAGGTCAGAAAGGGGTTCATGCCATTGCTTTCGACCAGCCCGGTTTTGGATTCTCTGATAAGTCAATGGTTGTGGAGGAGGTAGAGGGTGGAAGTGGAGGGGGCTTACAGGGCATTCGGGATGTGTATAATGAGATCATGGAAAAGGGCCTGTTTTGGGGGTTTGATCAGCTGGTTGAGAAGGGCTATGTTAATTATGAGGAAAGTGAACATCCAAAAAGGAAGAGTGTTAAGGCCATTGAGTTGGGACCTGAAGAGATGGGAAAGGTGTTGGGACAAGTGATTGAAGCACTGAGATTGGCACCCGTGGACCTGGTGCTTCACGATTCCGCATTGGGTTTGAGTGCCAATTGGGTATTGGAGAATTCAAGATTGGTGAGGAGTGTCACCATCCTTGACAGCGAACCAAAAGAAACAGCCTTGCCCTTGTGGGCTTTTGAAATTCCAGTGATCAGGGAGGTTGTTTTGCATTCTGAAATCTTGTTCAGGAGACTCCTTGAGAAGTGTTGTTCTCCATCAGTGAGCAAGTCAGATGTTGAGGCACATAGGGCTCTTGCAATGGGAAGAGATGCAAGGAGAGCTATTGTTGGAACGGGAAAGAGACTAAACTCTAGTTTCGATTTGGCTGAATGGAGTGCTTCTGCTGGGGTGAAGGAACTGCCTATGCATGTAGTTTGGTCTACAGGGTTTTCGAATGAATGGATTGAGAAGGGGCGCCGTGTTGCTGCTTCACTTCCCCGCGCAAAATTCGGAACTCATTCTGGTGGAAGATGGCCCCAGGTGAGGATAAACTAATTTCTTTGTTTTTTTTCCCAGTTATAATTGCATCAAGTGTTGGTTGTGTTGAGATGACATTGTGAATTTTGCTTCTTAATCATTTTCGTGTTGAAGTTACTCATAAATGTGCTAAGAGTTGAAGATTAATTAAACTTTGTAGTATAAAAACGACATAGCTACTTGGGAAACAGGTAACAGGTAGTATATCAGTTGGCCATTATTTTAGAATTTGATCTAGGCAGTGCGTCGGTGCCCTCAACGTTTACACAATTAGGCACCCTAATTGGAATCTTGTTGGCACGCCCATGTTATTTGAAATTTTCGTAAACAATGAATTGTTGTTTTCTGGATATTACTATAATTTGTTGTTTGTTTGAAATCAAATGAACAATTGAAGATGCACCAAACAATGAATGCTTGAAGATTCTTAGAGTAAATTCAACTCTTGCGTAAAGATTTTTTTAGTATATCCCAAACACTGCAAGTATAATTGTCATTGTGTCACCCCAGAAGATGATTAGGCCCCTTTTGTTGAATGAAAAAGAAACTTGGAGTAGAGAGAAACACACTCCTGTTGGCGTTGGCGCTCACAGGCTTCAGATCAGTTCACCGTCACCACTCGCCAGTGGCCATTAATTCTTCCTGTTTCTTTCTTGATTCTTTTGTTCTTTGTTTTGTTTTGTTATGAGATGTTTGTGCTCCTGTAATAGTTTTACACTATGTTTGGTTCTAGGAATTTGAGAGGGAAAGGAAAATACATTTCTTGTTTGGTTAGAGAGGAAAAGAGATGAAAAGTGGAAGGAAAAGAAAATGAGAAGGCAAAATGTACTAAGAGGAAGGAAAACCAAATTCCTCCCATTTTGGTGAGGAAAATGAGAGAAATCCATTTACTTTTCTTTTACTGCCAAATTCCTTGAACCAAACAGTGTTTTTTTAAATGTTTTTGTTCCTTTATCAGTTCAGCTTCGTTACTACTTACTAACTGTTCAAATACAACTTTGTGTAAAGCTTTTAACTCATTTTTTGTAGACAACACTTTAAACCAACAATTTTTGACGTTTTTATATTGAATTCATTTCTTCATGTTAGTGTTTACTTTCTTGACATGGCTTACCGTTTGTTATTACATTTTAAAATATACTTTAAAAAACATTGCTATTTGATATATCACAACTAAGGATAACTTGACATGGGGCCCAAGTCTTCAGCTCCTCCATTAATCTCTTCACGCGGCATACGTGACACTGTGCTTTATCATGAAGATTGAGGGGTCATACTTAGACAATTATCTGAGAATCATTTACAATATTGTACATCTTGATACTATGCTTAGAAAATCGTGTGAATGCTGAATGCTTATACAATGGCATTTCTAAAACTTGCCTTACTGTGTATGCTGACTCCCATCCGTCCCAAGTGTTTGTCCAATCTTGATTTTTTGCAGTAAAAATTGTCAAAGTTTGACCATAAATTAAATAATATTAATAGTAAAATTAATACGTAGTATTAGATATTGATACAAAAATAATTTCATTAGATTTATCTTGTAAAGTATTTTCAGAATATTGCTTTATCTAGTTAATTTACCATATAATTTTATTTAATTATTGGTCAATGGTTGACGGATAAAAGTTAAATTTGGGCAAACACTTTGGGATGGAGGGAGTATTAATTAATGCATGATCTATTTAGAGTGTTGGGTCTCCTGTTCTCCATCCTAAGCAATAGATATTCCTATTACTTTGTCATTGTTGTCCAAACACTGAAGAGCAATTCACTGATTTCAGGAACACAGTGCTGATGAGATAGCTGAGAGCATTCATCAATTTGTTTCTTCCTTACCCAAACCCATTAGACAGTCTGAGGAAGAAACAGTGCCCGAGCATGTTCAGAAGATGATCAACGAAGCACAAGACACTGGTCACGACGACAACCACCACCACAATCATGGGCACGAGCACTATAATGCCCATCATGGTCATGCCCATGCTGGATATATGGATGCATATGGGCTTGGGCATGGATGGGCCATGTGATTGGGCGGGCTTTATTGCTCAGAAACTGGACTCTGTTTCTCATCGAAGCCCGACTTCTTTTTCCCACTTTTTTTTTGAAAAGAACCTTGCATTAATTCACATTGTCGACACGTAATGCATCCCAGGTACAAGTTGGAGGGACAGGCATCCACTCCAGAAAATCAGATAGAATCAGACTACCCTGACCATCGAATGAGCAACTGGGTTCCCTCTTTTAAATGATACTTGTTGTGCAAGAACTGTTATTGTAGCTTGGAAGTGATGATCATGCAAGTGCTGTGTTGCTTGGAGCACCATTCTGTGTCCACTCTCACAAGGTAGTTTATCGTTTTTGTGAGGCTCCTAACAATTACTATTTTCTCTTTTCCTCTCTGTAATCACCGTCTGCCGCTTCTTCATGACTGCTTTGATTTGAATCCCCCTTTGCATCATTTCACCATCTAATTTTACTTGAGTATATTAAAGGGTTTATTTTTGTAAGGTTTAAATTTCTTGTTTTGGGAATATATCACATATTAGGTCGGAACATTGTTAAGTGGCTAAGCAATCGTCTAGGCGCTAGGCAGTGCCTAATCGCCCTGATGACGACTCAAAAATTGTTTTGAGTGTTCGACTTTGGTACCAAATGGGGTATTTGAGGTTGACAATAGCATCTCCAAATTCGCTATCGTAGCGGACAATTCGATGAGCAATAGGGAATTTGGTTCATTTGAACTAACATTATTTCAAATTTAGCCCTAATTTGGATTTGGATATGACATTAGTACCATGTGTTTATGAATTTGATTTCAACCCTAATTTAGTAGTTATGCTTCTTAAACACCTATCCAGTTGTCAAAAACATACTAAAAGAAAACCAGATGAATAAATGAAAAAGTGTCCAGTCGATGCTCTGTATAAGTATATGCATAAACTTGCTATGTAATTATAATATTAGGATTTCGTTTTGTTCATCAGTATAATGCTGTTTGTCGTTTAAACAAAATTAGTTTATATATTTTACTAATTTTATAAAATAATATAGTCTTGTCATCTCTTATTTTATACGAGTAGAACTTTTCACAAAGTTCTTTTTATTATATACGGAGTAATGTTTATTTTAATTTTAAATTTTATATTTACAATTAAATAAATTAAATTGAAAATAAAGTCGATCAAGCTTCGTAATACGTAATGAGAAAATCTATTAAGACAGGAAAAATAATTTAAGATTCTTTAAATTTGCCCATCAACTTAGCAAGTATAATCTTTTTCAAAGAAGCGTGTTTGGATCTTAAAAACAGGTTAAAATTTGCTGCAAAGTTGGTCATTTTAAAATACAAATGTTGCACATTAGCATATAAAAAATACTACCTCATTTGTAAACTCATGCAAAAACAGACACTTAATTTCTGGGGATATGCTAGGGTACACCAAAAAGTGTACTCCAAATGTACACCACCCTCTTACTAACCATTCATTTTATTTTGTTTTTATTTTTAATTTTTTTTGAAAATTTCTTACCTTTTTTGTGTGGTGATGGAGGGGGTGGGGGATGTTTGGGGTACACTTTTGGTGTACCCCTAGCATTTTCCTAATTTTTGTGATTACATGTTATAGAAATGAGTTACACTCTAGTGTTTCCAATGGGACCACTTGTTTACATGGAATGCAAAACAGAATTAATTCCCATTCAGTGAAGAAATTGAAAAAGTGTTCCCGTTCAGTGCTGTCAGTGGAAAAAGTAATTAACGATACAGCCAGTACCGTTAAGTTAAAAAAATAATTGAGAAAGGAATTAACGGTACTGGCTGTACCGTTATGTTAAAATAAATTAATTTCAAAGGCATTAACGGTACAGCCAGTACCGTTATATCTAAAAAATTGGTATTTCGGATCCTTATCTCCAAAACCCAACCACTAACCATTCTATACCATATAATCTACCTAACAAAAAAATATCTCATCTAACACCACTAATCATCTTACACCATACAATCCATCTAAAAAAATATCTCATCTAACACCACTAACCATTCTACACCATACAATCCACAAAAAATTGCTGCGGGGTACCCTCAATTTTGTGATAAGAACTTGCAGGTCCCATTATTTTTCAAAATGTACTCCAGGGTACCTTAAAATTTACAAAAAGTTGCTCAAAGGTACCTTAAAATTTACAAAAAGTTGCTCAAAGGTGACAATCTGTCACTCTCTCCGTCAATCCGTAATTGTCGTTAGCCTTTTCTTCTCCTTCACCATTCTTTCGGCCTTCCTTCTTTTCTTTTTTTTCTTTTTCTTCTCCTCCGTCTACACCCTCCAATCCCATCCAGCCTTCCCTTTTTTCTTCTTCTATTTTTTTCTTTTCTTCTTCTTGTATTAATTATTATTGTTGTTATTATTATTATTAATATTATTATTATAATTGTTGCTGGATATTATGGAGTATTATTTTATTATTTGTAAGTATTTGTTATTATTATTATCATTATTTATTTATATATTTATTATTTTTTTAAATAGCAGTTTTACTAAGGCCCCATAAAAAAATTTGTGTGTGCCCCCATTAACTTTTTTTCAATATTCACTTGCATTAACAAAACTTAAAATATTCTAAAGCTTTACTTGAAAATTAGTTTTAGTAATATACTCCCTCCGTCTCATAAAACCTTTCTCCTTTCTTTTTTTATCCGTCCCACAAAACACTTCTCATTTCTATTAAAAAATCACTTTTACCCCTTACTTTTTCATATCCTAACTATCACATCATACCTTTTTACTAATAATCTATCCATCAAATCATACTTTTACCCATCATATCAAAGGACATTTTTGGAAATTCAATACCAAAATACACTCCCTTTAAATCCCTCCTAAAAAGCAAAAGTCCCATGTTTCACGGGACGGAGGGAGTATTTATGTATAGTTTATAAAATTAAGATTATTTATTCACTTGGTTATAAAGTATACGTCCTAATTTATAATAATAATAATAATATGAAATTAAAACTATTTTTTATCATTTCAAATTATCTTTAAAAAAAATCTAGAGACACTTGCTCATCTTATTCTCATTTCAGGTCCTCTCGTTTTCGGGATTCACTACTACCAATGACGGTTGCCGATGGCTACTGCATGACTAATGTGAAAGACATCAAATGTCAAAAAAATTTGAGTAGTAAAACTACTACTAGTTTTTTAATAATAATAATAATAAGTGTTATTTTAAATAATAAGTACTATTTTTATAAATACTCCGTAATAATTAGTTTTATTTTCTTAAAAATAGAGTAATAAAACTACTAGTTGATTTTTAATAATAATAATAATAATAATAATAATAAATAACAACAATAGAAGAAAAAGAAAATAATAAGAAATAGATAATAATTAATACAAAGTAAGTAATAAAGTACTTTATAAGAAGTTCTATTTTTCTAAATAACAATTATTGTTATTTTTTTAAAAAAAGAAGAGTAAAACTAATAAATAGTTTTTAATAATAGTAAATAAAATTAATAATAGTAAAACTACTAATTAATTTCTTTATAATAATTATAACAACTAATAACAAATAATAATTATAATAGAAGAAGAAAAAAGAATTCAAAACAAAAAATAGAAGAAGAAATAAAGTAGGCGCTAGGCTGGATCTGATCCGAAGGCAAGGCAAAGGAGAAAGAGGAGGAGGAGGAGAAGAAGAAGAAGAAAGAAGAAGGAAGAAGAAGAAGAAGAAGAAGAAGAAGAAGAAGAAGAAGAAGAAGAAAGAAAGAAAGAAAATGAAGAAAGAAGAAAAGAAACAAGAGGAAGAAGATGGCCGAAAGAATGGTGAAGAAGAAAAAAAGTTAACGGCAAATGGGAATTGAGGGAGAGAGTGACGGATTGTCACCCCGGAGTAACTTTTTCTAAATTTTAAGGTACCCCGGAGTACATTTTGAAAAATAATGGGACCTGCGAGTTCTTATCACAAAACTGAGGGTACCCAGCAACAATTTTTTGTACAATCCACCTAACTTAAAAAAATATCTCACATTACATTACAAACAATCTTACACCATACAATCCACCTAACTATAAAAATGTCTCACATTACACTATGAACCATCCTACAATTACACTACAAACAATCATGCATCATACAATCCACCAAACTAAAAAAAATATTTCACATTACATTACAAACAATCATGCACCATACAATCCACCAAACTAAAAAAACCCACATTACACTACAAATAATCATGCACCATACAATCCACCTAACTAAAAAAATATCTCATCTATATATTTCTTGCTTAACTCTCACAATCTCACTACCGAGCTTTACTCTCACATATCTCATTCGAGGAGGTCTTCAATGAACTCCTTGATGTTATTGGTGAAGATAATCTCAATTCCATCAAAAACATTTGGGGAAAATATCCCAAATACAAGGATGGAGTTTATGCCGCTTCACGCCCTTTCCCCATTTCTGAGGAGCGAACATGGAGGTGTTACGTTTAAAAGGCAAAGAAGGAATATGATGAACTTGAGGTTTACCTAGATGCACACCAAGTTGAAGTGTTGGCTAACGAGGAAGAAGAAATGGAGGAAGAGCAAAACCACCAGGCTCATCACCACCAAGTTCATCACCACCACCAAGTTGATGAGGTGGGGCCGTCTAACACGGCACGAGACATGGATGATGAAGATGACTCTGAGGATCCGACGTATGTTGCTAATTCTGATCAAGAAAGTTCTTCAGATGAGTCTGAAGTATCTGGATGGGTCTCTATGTACACAACGGACGTGTACACAGAGGAACCTATTAACGTTGCTGAACAAGAAATTCTAGAATTTCCGATCCCTAGGCACGTTGAAAAAGTCTCACTACCACCAACGTTCCGTATCCCTGAAATTCAGATTGGATATCGGTACGATGATTTCAAAAGCCTTCAATTTGCAGTGGCGCTACGCAATATTGCAGAGCATAGACACTTTCAGACTTCTTCAAAGCATCGCAATTATTGGCTGACGAAGTGCTCGTATTCAGAACAATGTCTATGGCTCATCCAGGCTGCAGAGGTTGCATCTGTTTGGACTGTCAAACAGTACAGAAGTCAACATTTATGCAGACCAGACTTTTCGAAAGAGAAGGACGATAAGCTTATTACAAGCAAGCTCATCTCCGGAATTATATTCTCTAAAATTGATGCTGATGCTGATTACAAGGTGAGGTACATCATTAAAGATATATACGACTTATTTCAAGTTTCTGTGTCGTACAAGAAATGTTGGTTGGCTAAGTCGAATGCTATTCAACGACTGTACGGACGGGGATAGTTGGAGCTAGTTCATGATGCATTTAATGCATTATGTAGTACCTTACGATATGTCGGTGTGCATCATTTCTGATAGGCACGGGGGAATTGATGTAGCTTTCAATACTATCCCCCAGTTATTGGAACAACGTGTCACCAGGAAATATTGCCTGCGCCAATTGAGAAGTAATTTTCAGAAGAAGTTCAATAGCAAAAAACTGAAAGGTTTGATGTATCATGCAGCCAGTACCCCAGATGTCTATGAATTCAATAGAACAATGCAACAAATTAAGTCACAATGGGAGAAAGCATATGACTGGTTGTTGGCTTTGCCAATAGAGAAGTGGGCACTCTGTTCCGATGGTGGGGCTCGATATGGAATCCTGACCACTAATCTTTCGGAAAGCTACAATCATGTGCTTAAGGGATGTAGGTCTCTTCCGGTATACGCTATTGTGAAAACGACGCACAAGCGATTAGTAAAATTATTTGCAGAAAGGCGTATAAACGGATTTACATGGCTACAAGCGGGATTTAAGTTCCCAAAATATATTTGGAACGAGGTGAGACGCATGGAAGACCATCGTTTACATTGCCATGTTATCCCCCATCATCCGCAACAAGGGATTTATCGGGTCGTTGTTGAGGGCAACGCTAGAGCTACCGGTAGATTAGATGAGATAGTCGTGCATCTGGGCCAAAAAATGTGCAGTTGCGGGAAATGGGCCACATTGCACATGCCATGTGTGCATGTCTACGCCGTATGTCGTTATTGCAACATTACGGTTGATGATCTTATTCCACGAGTGTTCTCATTTCAGAATTACCTCGATGCATATTCTGGAAGTGTTATGCCACTACAAAATGAAATTTAATGGCCAACTCTTGATTACGAATTAGTCCGACCATTTACAGGGCAAAGGTCGCAAGTCGGTCGTCCAGTGAGCACCCGCTTCACAAATAATATGGATATGCGACCGCGGAGGCATCGTCGGAGTACTAAGTTAAATTATAAATTTCAATGTGGAATTTTAAAATATGTATGACAAGTTTTATTTGTATGCTTTTTAATTTCAGTAGTAGTGCATCAAATGAATAAAAATTCTATTAATGTTCAAATTTAATGCTTTTATCTAATAAAAAAAATCTAATCTAACACCGTGAACCATCATACACCATACAATGCACCTAACAAAAAAATCACATCTAACACCACTAACCATCCTACACCATACAATCCACCTAACAAAAAAATAGGTAATTTTTATGTAATTTTAATATGTAATTTTTATATTTTATTGATATATCAATTTGTAAATAAAATTATTTCAAAAAAGTAAAAAAATTTACTCCTAACCTGCAATTTGTAATCAAATTGGGGACGGAAGGAGTATTACATTTCATATTTATATATAACCCAAGGATTAACGGTACTGGCTCTACCGTTAATCTAAAAAAATAAACTAACGGTACTATCAGTGTTGTTAAGCATCAAATCTGACCACCTTGCATATTGTCAGGTACACCTTCACCATTTGGGAATGCATTTCTCAAATCTTCACTGATTGGGAAATCACCCTGCAAAGCACAGTAGTGGGTGAGTTATTGAGACCCTGCATTCTTTAGTCAATTCCAAGACAGCTTTATAGTTGAATGATCTACTTTCCACTCTATATATCACATGATACCGTATGGGATGGTACTAATTACCAATGCATCTACATTGTTTGACCTTGGATATGGAGGAAAAATATTTTGTGTGTTATGATATAAATTATATAATATCAATAGATTTTTTTGAGATATAATTTTAAAATATCAATTATTTATAAGGGGGTGTTTTCTCTATGTGCTGATATTATTGATTTATTGCTCGTAAATAGATTTTAACTTATAAGCCAAATATTTTTAAAATGACTTAAATGATATATAAGTCATTTGAGAACATTTTCATATATAGTGAGGGACAATTTTATAAGTAATGTGGTTTAAACAGAAAAACTAAAAATTATCTTAAAGATAAGAATCAAGACTTACTTTTTTTTCTAGCTTATAAATTAGCTTATAAGTCTAAAAAAATATGTAATCAGATTACTTATAAGTTAAAATTGCTTCTAAGTAGTTTTGACCTGTTTATAAGTACAAAGAAACACCACAAAGGGTGTGTTCTCTTTGCTGGTACGTATTAGCTTATTATTGATAGGTACTCCATAGTTTTAACTTATAAGTTCTTTATAAGTTAAATATTTTTTTTGTGTAAGTAAAATAACTTAAATGATAGCTACCTTATTTGAGAAAATGAAGAGTAATAATTTTGAAATTAATCTGGAGTTTTCATTGTTGCTCAATAGTGAGATTTTTTTCTCTCAACCACTCTATATGTTAGATCAATAGTTTTTAAAAATGTAATTTTGAAATATTAAATATTTTTTCCATAAATTGTGGTGGATAATTTTTGTAAATAATCTAACCAAAATGAAAAAAACCAAAAAACTAATTTAAAAAGAACTAATTAAAATTTATTTATTTTTCCTGACTTATAAAGAACTTATAAATCAATTTATAAATACAGATGAACATATTGCTCCCTCCGTCCCAGAGTATTTGTCCACTTTCATTTTTACACACCATCCAATACACTTCTTTAATCCATTTTATCTTGTAATTTGTATATTAAAAAATTATAGAAATTATATATTAATAATCTATATGTTAAGACAAATCAAACAAGATCGGACATGACTATATTTAGGCTTACACATTGAGAGAATTTGATGAGTCAAAGTGCTTAGATGTAAAGTTCCAAAAGTCAAAACTAGACTTATAAATTAAAAAGAGCAATGCTATGTTCACAAACTTACTATTTAGGGTTTAAATTTTCATTTTAAAATTATTTTAAACTATTTAATTTTATTTATTGAAGTTCATAAATAGTAAGTTTCTGAAGTTTATGATTATTTTGTTTGTGAACCAAGAATTTTTTGATTAAAAATTGGCAGCCACAGAAAGTCCTAGCCAGCTCCTTTGGATGCTCAATAGATCGGGGAGTCAAAAAATGGATGTTGTGTTGAAGAAGGCGAGCTCCGTTTCCGGGCATTGAAGAAAACCTGAAACCCTCCAAACGCCTCCCCTTTCACGACCGAAGCCTACTGCGGAGACGCCGCGATGTCGGCCATGAATTCCAATTTCCCAGCTCTGCAATGCGAGGACACTCTCCGTGCGATCCTGGAGAAGCTCCCAGTGCCTGACTTGGCCCGCGCCGCGTGCGTTTGCTGGCTCTGGAATACGGTAGCCTCCGACCCGGAGATGAGGATCCGGGCATTCATGGCTCCCTGGAAGCTCAAGAACATCATCGGAAACCCTAGCTCTGGCACTTTCTGGAGAGACAATAGCATCTCCAAATTCGCCATTTCTCATCCGATTTTCCGCTCTGATAGTGTTGCTAGCCTTGCCGTCAAGTACTCTGTCCATGTATTCTATCTTTCTCTCTCTCGCTTGCTCTCCTCCTTCATCTTTAGGTAATCCATATGAATTAAACATGTGTTTAGACGGAATCAAACAAATTAGCAGTTATTGAAGGTTGATTGCAAGCTAAAGGTACTGTGTAAATGTGAGTATATTCATGAAATAATTGCTCGTTATATGGTTGAACTGTTGGAATTTATTGAGCTTAGATTTAGGTCAAACAGATTTGTTGTTCTACTTCTTTGGTTCTGAATAACTGTGATCTTCTGCTTGTTGGAGTAACTTCAAACGATTCGAACATTCATTGTATTTTCATACTTTTCAAATATTCATAATTTTAGGTCTATGAAGAAGGATTGACGAGGAATAAATTTTGTAAGAGGAAATATTATTTTTTCGAAGTTTATGATGTAGGTGGCTAGAATGCACTAGCATAACATATACTACACATATTTACCCCGGATTTCCGTCCTTGATTGTCGCGCTGAAAATCCCTGAAATGGTATTTTGATCAACATGATGTGATTGAACAAAATTGTCGATCAGATTAGCGTGCAAGCTCTTTAGTATGTCATGCAACTCTTCATACCTAAACATGAATGCTTTCTAGTTTTTTTTACATACGTTGCAAACTTTACAATCGTCACTTGTAAGCTTAATCACCAAAGAGGAGGATTATGAATTTGGCCATAAGGGGTCTTAGGTATTATTCTTCTCGACTGTTATAGAATCAAGCATTGATCATGTTCTATTATTTTCATGTTGGTCTTGCAATATGAGACATGTATTGCACATGTCAATAGCAAATATCTCTATCTCTTGTCATCTCATGATATTTTCCATGCATGTGGAAATGACATATGATGATGGCAGTCTTAGAAGTTTAATCTCACTATTCCTTATTCCATATTGAGTTGTTTGGAAGGGCATCCAACATAACATTGCTGATAATGTTTTTTTCACTGAATTGGAAGTTTAAAATGTAAACTAGTTTTTATAAAATTAGTCAGCACTATAAATTTAATGCCACCAGCTCAATTAGTTTTGATTAAGGTGCTAAAGATATCCAAGGGCAACCAATAGTTTCTTATCGTTAAACTTCCAATATCCAAGGGCAACCAATAGTTTCTTTTTTCAGTAAATACAAATATACAATATCGAGTTTCATTCCAACTTTTATGAAGGAAACACTTCAAAAAAATTTCATTTTTATTGTGTGAAGGTTATGGATATAAAACGTTTGAACAACATGATTAGTGACCATGGAATATACTCAAGGGAGAGGTTACTCATTCCCATTAGCAATCGTGATGTGCTGATTGATGGCACATGCTATGTGGAGCTGGATTCCTATGCAAAAAGGGAAGTGGCAGTGCTGTATCTTGAGGGAGGCCCTATTGGAAAGCCTAAATGCCTGTCGAGAGAGTTCGCTGCATCTGGACATGGTGAAAGAATGGTGATTGACTCCCTGAGGAGGAGCATGCAAGTTGATGATGGGACTGCTCAGTACTACTTGGCAGTGTCCAATGGCGATCCGCGAACAGCCATTGCACAATTTTCAGATGATCTAAGGTGGGAAAGGCGGGTTGGCCTGGCTTGATTTTGGCATCAACTAGCTGTGTTGTTTCAGATATGCAATATCATCCTCATTTGAAGTAAATCTGGAAGAATCCCATGGAGGCCGAATTTCTGATTCAATCAAAACACCAGAGCAGTAAAGTCCTTTATGCCATTCTTGTCTCTCCTGACTTCCCTAGGGCTGATATTGTACTTTCAAATATAATGTATTTCAATTCTGTGTATTGTCTATTGTCTAATGTTTGACATGTCTGAACTGAAATGCAGATTGAAGCTCATAATATGTAATTAAGTAAGTTGAATAGAAAATGACTCACATCAAATATCGTAAGCTGAATCAAGAACACTATACAGGAAATAGGGAGTATAAGAAAAGGTAGATTAGTAGATACAAGCATGATTGATATTATGTAAGGAAGAATTATGATTTTGTTCCATGACTATTAGGGTCCGTTTGGTATATGGAATTGATAGAATTGGAATTGAATTGGAATTGAAATTCCATGAGATTCAATTCCATAGAATTGAATTCTGATAATTCCAATTCATTTTTTGCACTATCAATTCCAAATCCACATAATTTTTGTGCTACCAAACACCAGAATTGGAATTGAAGTCCCCAATTCCAATTCCATAGTTTGAATTCCGTGTACCAAACGGGGCCTTATGAAATTTCAACATTTGGAACCCATGTTTTGATTCTTCTTGTTTGTGTGACAAGGTGGATGGACCTTGTTACCTTTTGCACAAATTAGTTAACACATTATTGTTAATAGAATGCTACAGGTAGTAACTTGGTGTACGACTAAGGCTCGTGTTCTTTTATGTTTTAACTCTTAACTTCAAATATTTTTCAAGTTCCTTCGGTTTTTTTTCAACTATTAGTTTTTCTAACGTCTTTCTGTTTCTTCTTCCAACTCTTTCCAATTTTTCCAACTCTTGATTTTTTTCTAACATCTTTCAATTTCTTCCAATTTCTTCAACTCCTAATTTTTACTAACTCTTTCTTTTTCTTCCAATTCTTTCCAATCTTTTCTAACTTTTTCTAATTTTTTCCAACTCTTTCAAATATCTAACCCTATTTTTATAACTAAAATGACTAGAGCTTAAGTGAGGATTAAATTTTTATGCATAAAGCATACACGTTATGTGACTATATGAGCAAAAATGGTACGTGTTCAATTTTTATGAATCTGTTTTTTAAAAGGAAAATTCGGTGTAATGGTGTAAATTATTCCCTTTGTCTTGTAAATTTTTGCGAGTTTGAGTTGACATGGTTTTTTAATAAAGTAAAATTTGTGTGATTATAATTTGTATAGAAGAAAAGGAGATGATTAACACCACATGACTTTTATTTTCAAAAGAAAGTGAAAAAAAATTGGGATGATTCAAATAAGAGAGTAAGAAGATAAGTATAGAATGGAAGTAGTATTTTTGATCTAGGTATTGGATTACTCGCGTTGGTCCCGTTTGGTAGAGGTTAGCGTTTTAAAAAGGTTATCAGAAGATAACCTTTGATGTTAGCATTTTCAAAATTGATCTGTATGATTAAAATTTTATTCAAAACGTTAATCGAAAATATTGTTCTCAAACAAGATCGCGAGCAAGTCCGAGTTTGATTTTAATTAATAAAGGAGATACTCGGTACTAAATATACTCTAAACAATGTGATTTGACAAACAACGGTGAAGTAGAAATTCTCTTATGGGACGGGATATAATTATACACAGGAAAGAAGAAGGTGATTATTCTCTCCACTGTTTATTTACCCATTGTTTTGTTGGTGAGAAAAGAGTGAAAAAGAAAAAGGCATATCAAAAAATTGTGTGGGACCCATGCCAAAAAATTTCTTAACAACATAAATGAGGAAACCGTACCATAAAGAAGAGAACATGTTCAAATTACAAAATTGCTATTTTTCCTATCTATTTTGTTATCATTTTTCTATCATCTGAACAATATTTTTTTTCCTTCACCTTCTTACAATTTTCTCTTCTCACCTTTTTTTCTCATCATTTTCCTTCCCTTCATTTCCCTTTTCTCATCCAAACAAAGACTTAGGGACGGTTTGTTTCAGCCTCTTAATGATTCAGATGTCTGAATGGTTCAGCACTTAATAGTTCAGACTGCTTGTTTCAGCCTCTTAATGATTCAGATGTCTGAATGGTTAAGAAATTTGCCTCTGAATGGTTAAGTATTATACAAAGTCTGAATGGTTAAGACCTCTTATCTGAATTGATCAGACATTTTCCTTTGAATAGTTAAGCAATATACTAGCTTTTAATAATTCAGACATCTTACTGGTTCAACACATAATGGTTCAGACCTCTTACTGGTTCAGCATTCACCTATTCAGAAGTTGTCAAACAGTCCCTTAGTTTTCAATGATCCAAAATACCTCAGTTTAGGCAACGATTCAATTAAATGCTTTTACACCATTTTCAAATCTCAGCCATGTGTGTAGATTATGTAGAAACGTGTTCCGTCGGTATACGTATTAGTAGATAGCATACTAATATTGTTGACATTTAATTTAAACAAATAAATGTTTTGTGGTAACATTTTTGGGATGATTTTCAACAATTTGTTTTATGCTAAAGATCATACACTGTATGTAATTGTATTTCCTTGTACCGTTTATTGATTTTTATAATTTATTTTCATGTACACCGATTTGTTTTCGGGTCTTTAAGTAGATTCTAATAATTGTATTCCATTGTCCCAAATTTAATGTCAGGCTCTGTTTAGTACACGGAATTTAAGTCGTGAAATTGGAATTGAGGACTTCAATTCTAATTCCGGTGTTTGGTAGCACTAAAATATTTGAATTTGAAATTAGTGGTGTAAAACTCACGGTTTGATTTTACATGGAATTTAAGTAGAGTGAAATTCTATGATTATTGAAAGTAATGAGATGAGAAAAAAATTGAGCTACAAATAGCTTTTCAAAAAAGGACAGAAGAAGATTAATTTGGGATAGTCCAAAAAAGAAATAAGAAAGATTAAATTAGGATGGAGAGAGTATAGGGTAAATTTCACAAATGGTACCTGAACTTTAGCTGGAATTTCGAAGTGGTACCTGAACTTCAAATCCTTTCACAAAAATTCCTGAACTTACACAATCCTTTCTCAAGTATTATATTATTCATTGTAACATTACCAAAGTATGTAGAATATGAATACTAAATTATAAGAATTTTTTTTGGATTTTTTAATTAATTATTTACTCCGTAAATATTTGTTTGAGATGAAATTAATTTTTTTTTGTCATGTCATATACACCCTCCGTCCCATATAAAACTTCTCATTTGGAATAGTACCCCAAAATAAGGAGGGGATATTTTAGCTTTGAGTTACCCAAAATGAAAAAAGAGAAAAATGTAAGGAAAGTGTGTGTACTTTTTTTAATTAAATAAGGGAAATGAAACATATCAAATCAACACAATCATTACACCACTATTCATTACAAATTACTCTCTCTGTCCTAAATTATTTGCAACGTTTGCTTTTTCAGCAGTCGCGGAAACTTTTGTTTATTTCTACGTTTTCATTGGTTATTTTATAAAATAAAATATTTTTGACACCTCTTATTTTTAAAAACTTTTCATGTAGTTTTTTGATATGTAAATTTTATTTTTTATTTCTATACCAATACGTAAATAAAATGAATTGAAAAAACTTGATATTTTGCCTCGAACATACAAGTATGGCAAATATTTAGGGACGGAGGAAGAACATTTAGATTCTTGAACCCAAAAATAGCAAGACTTCTATAAATAGAAAGCATTGAATGCATGGAATGCATTCAATGCTTTCTTCTTTTTTCTTCTCTTCTTTATGGAGTTTTCTTCTTCATCTTTATCTTTTGATGAGCAAGTCTCACCGGAATCAGGGGATGATTCTGCCAGTGAGAACCACCCCCACCCTCCACTTCTGGCAGAAAAGAAGTGCTTGTTGACATTCCAAAGATGTTGGCAGTTCCATTCGGCGCAAGAACATCATGCCCTTGGGTATGCAATGGAAGTGTCCAAATCAATTGTTCAGAGATGGCTAAAAAGGAAGACCATAAGGAGACATTCCAATGCAATCAAGCCATATTTGTCAGACTCAGGTAAGCTAAAAAGACTTAGCTTTTGTTTGGACCATATTTCTCCCTCATCACTTCCATTGAACCTAACATTTCACAATTTTTATGATTATATTCATATTGATGAGAAATGGTTCAATATCACAAAGGAAAAGGCCACCTTTTATGCACTGCCAAAGGAAGAAGACCCACACAGAACAATCTAATCTAAAACACACATACCAAAAATAATGTTTTTAGCAGCAGTGGGTAGGCCTAGGTATGGGGCTGACATTACAACAAAAACCACATGAAAGTGGTGACATTACAACAAAAACCACACATATTCTGAACTCTTTTCAGAATTAATCATGTTTGCATAATTAGTTTGCCAAAAAAATTAAAAATTTCCGCATGCAAGGAAATCAAAGTAGATATATCTTACTTGATTTGAAACGATTTTGTTTAGCTGGGTCTGAAGTAGCTTCTGAGAAACTGAGCTCATTCTCAGACATCTCCAAGATTTGTGCAGATGTCACAGATTCAGAGTATTCTTCTCCATCCTCTTCTTCGTAACTCCTTTCAGGGTCAGAGTAATAACCCCCCTAAATGCTTTTTACGGAAACTCCAAGTTGGATCCGTCTCAGAGGAGTCAGATCCACCTCCATCCAAGCCAGATCCCCAAATCTCCTCATCCTTCCTCTTCGAAATTGTTGGTGGAGGGGATCTTTGACGAGGAAAAGATGTTTCCTCATCACTATCGCTCAGTAATTGAAACGAGGGCATCGTAGGGTCGCGACTTTTCATCGAATCAGAGAGGAGAAGAGAGATAGAGGTTACATCTAAGAGAAGAGGAGGGGAGAAGATGAGAGAAAGTCTGGGAATTGGAAGAGGCAAAGAGGAGAGAGAAGATTCGAACGGGTGGGGGTGGGTTAGTGTTGGAATATTGGAATAATAATATTGCTCTTTTAATTATAGAATACATGATAAAGTATATATAGAAGAGATTCCTAACACAACTAGGAATAGAGAATGGAAACTAACTAACATACAACATCTACTACAAATAGGATTAGGAAGCTGACTAATAATGAAACACTACCATAACCAATACTACCAGAAGTAATATTAGTTTTATTGTCTAACATCCCCCCTCAAGCTGAACTCTGGCTGAAGCAAGAGAAAGCTTGGACACTAGCTGGAAACTGGAAACT